TCTGTCACTCTGTAAGTTCAACACATGTTGTGCAACCGCAGGCCTTGTGTTGTTTGAGACTGGTCTGTCGCTTGGAATTTGTCTTGTTTTGCAGGTATACAGCACATTCTCTTCTTTGTGCTAGTTCTGACATTTTCATGTACTCTAAACAATTGTGTTTGTATACATACCATGTCATTGTGTCTGGCATGCAGTGCATTACAACTCTTCTGTATGTGGAGTCTCACTGTCTTGGGGTTGAAGACCATACTGTGGGTTGAAGGCTGCTTCTGAGAGGGCTCCAAAACTTTTAACTCAGTGAGTGACATTCACTACAGTCCACAGTGAAGTCACTACAGTCACTAGAGTCAGAGTCACTCAGTAGAGACTTCAGACTCAGTCACTTAGTTAGCCACCACAGTAACATTCGTCCACATTTACTCGCATTATTCTGTTGTTTATCCTCATGTGTGTTTACCCAGCAAAATACAAGAAGGAACACATCCTCTGCAATCAGTAGACCTATACTTTCAATATCAGAAACATTGCGACTTTGAAACCACCTTGACCGATTGGTATCCTGATATATAAGAGGGTTCCACTCAGAACACACCATCAGATTACTATAATAGTCAGAAGCTTACCCACTTAAGCAGTTCAACAGTGAATGACAACCATTAATATTATATCCTGTGCTCATACAACTTCACAGTTCTAATTACGCAAGTCAAATTGTCTCTTATCTCTCTGCTGCAGTGTGCTGATAAACAATTTTAAAGATGATGTACAAGTGCTCTAGCATCTGATACAGCTGCTAAAATGACTACTGGACACATTATTACACTTTGTTCACACTGCAAATGAAAAATCATTGAACTACTACTTATAATACAAGTCCAATTCACATTCCTAGCTTTGCTCTCAGCATTTTGTTCTCCTCCTCCAGCAACTTGTAGGCCTTTCGGTACTGCACGAGTGGGTGTGTGAGAGGGGTTAAAACCTGTTTACTTACAGGGTTAACATACAATCGATTACCCACTGCCAGCAGCCAGTCAACACTGGTTCCTCAACACTAGCTCGGAACCAATGGCATATCTCTCCAGGAAGACAGTTACACATCTCCTTGGTATGTGTGGTGGAGGGCTGACAATACCGACCACACTGCTAGTGAGGGACTGCAGAAGACTGGCTGCTGGCAGAATGGAGGGGCCTCACAAGCTCAAAGTTGACATTTTCCAACTCTGTGCAACCTTGACAGTACTGTGTGAGCACAAAGAGCATGGCACAACAGAGGGGGGTGCAAGGTTGAAAGGTCGGTGCTCACAGTGATAAACAACACATCAAAACACACACACATCACATGCTAAATAAATATATATCTGTAGGCAGTGGATACTGATGTTCAGCAGCCACATGGCTCAGATGACCAGACTGTTCCTACACTCCAGTCAGAACCATGACAGGATGTATCACATGACAGCAATAGACACACAGTACAATTATTACAGGTGCAAGGTTGAAAGGTCGGTGCTCACAGTGATAAACAACACATCAAAACACACACACATCACATGCTCACACTCATACACATGCACACAAATGCTAACCTCTTCTAGTGTAGAAAATTCTCCAGGAGCACTGGGAGCCGCAGAGGACACAGCTGCGGTCCTAACAGTTGGCTTCTTCTTGGCAGCTGCTGCTTTTATCTGTCAACCAATTGGGGTCTCCTTTACACACAAGTCTAAGAGGCTCATTGTTCTTACCTTCACTGGCCCACTACCAGCACCTTCACTGCTGAACTCCATGAGGATGGGGTCTTTGTTGGTCCCACTGATCCACTCCTCTGCAGTGAGGGCTGGCTCCTCTGAGGGACATGCCGGGAAGATGTCTCCCTGGAACATCTCTGACTGCACACAAAAAAAACACATGCGAAATGCTAGGACTCAGGGGAGACAGCGACCACCCAAACCTTCCTCGGAACTGTCATTGAGAGGGGCTCCACTAGGCCTTTTGTGTGCTGGACTTTGAAGAACCTCATGACCTCGCATTTCATGAAGTCCATGTGCCTCTTTGGCATGGAGCATACAGAGCGTGCAGGAACACTGCTCTGGTACATGCTCAGGAAGAACACATATGGACTCTCATCCGTCACCTCGAAATACCGAATATTTGTGTCTCCCTGTATCAGAACACAATCATACATAATATGGCCTGGTCTCTTACACAAACCAGCCAAGCCTACCTTCCCCACAAGATAGACCATGTTAGTACCATCATCCCAGAATGGGAACAGGACACCAGATGCATTGTCGATGACCTCCATGGCAAGAGGTTTGTCCATATGATTCTGTACGTGTACATAACAGCATACAGCTCACTGTAGACACAAACACACATACCACGTCCCAGAGCGCAAATTGCCGCTCACTCATACGAGAGAATCCAGAAGTAAAGAGTTTGTCTGTTTTGCCACAGAACACCACACGAGATGGTTTGTTTCCATCATGCCCTTTGTTCTCCTGTAGGTTGAGTGGAGGAGCATAAAACAAGAAAATAAAGAACAACAGCTACTTACCTGCAACACATCACCTGTCCGAGCATCCACTACTCGGATCTTCTTGTCTTTGCATGTTGTAGCTATACGTGAACCGTTGTAGTTCCAGCAAATGGACTGGATCATGTCTGGAAACGCTCCAGTTGCTGACAGAACTCCGCCTGTCTCAGTGTTCCAAACACGAATTGTGTTGTCAGCAGAAGCAGACGCCAGGACATTGGTAGCGGATGGGTGCCAGCGAATATGCCCAACCTACAGAACAATAGAGAACACCAATAGCTAGAGGTCTCACTAAAAACAGTGCCACTAGAGTGCTGTTGCTGCTCATGTTTCACCTTCTTCTGGTGCCCCTCGAGAGTGAGTGATGGATCCTTCATGTCCTCAGTCAGCCCGCCATCAGGGATGTCCCACAGCTTAATGGTGCAGTCCTCAGAGGCTGAGGCTACCTCGTTCTCATTGAATGGATTCCACGCCACATCCAACACCGGGTCTCTGTGACCAGTCACCTTTGGATAGTTAATGTCTATCCTGCCAACCTGGGATTATTTAATAAACATGTTTGTAAAGTTGGGCCGATCCAAACTTGTACACTTCCTGTAGGTATACAAGTTGCTCATTAAAAGGGGGCAAAATGGGGTGGGGGGAAGATTCCCCTGTTATTAAAAAAACCTGGTAATCACCGCGGCCTCACTTTCTCAAGGGGCAACACGATGAAGGACCCGCCGCCTCGCACTTCCGTCACTACTGCGATGAATTTGGAGTTTACAGCGCTCATATCCGACTCGTGAGGGCCCTTAGAGATCTTCAAGTTGTCGTAGCACTTGTCCTTCTTCGCCGGAGTCCCGAAAACATGGCGAAATTTACTGGAACGAACGAATAATCCCTTTGTCGCAGACATGCTGAGCCAACTTCCACAAGACTCGAGTCTGCAACTGTCAGACGGAAGGGCTGTAGGTTGCCTGCCACCGTCTCTCTGAGCTAATCAACCTCTACTTCCTGCATGTGTTCCACCGCTAAACTCATTGACCATATTCGGTCACAATGGAGTGCAAGGGTATGCGCATGCGTTTCCCGTAAACAAACATGGAGGACGGAGTCCAGGGCGTCGCTCCAACTTCGTCGTGGCAAGACTTGCTTGCTGGGATTCGCCAGGCGTTTTCAACGGATAAGGTTGACATTGACGTTGTAAAGCTACTCCTATCCTCGTACAAGTCGAAGCGGGAAGACTGGGAACCCTACGCAAAGTTTGATGCCCACAGGTACTTATATCACCTTGACGTTTGTGCTGAATTCTAGCTGTGTAAACACGTGCCTTCCAGATACACACGGAATCTTGTAGACGAGGGTAATGGTCGTTACAACCTCATAATTCTGTGCTGGGGAGAAGGCCACGCCTCGTAAGTTATGAGCAGACCTATTACACCTCGAGTCGAATGGCTGTGCTGCTGCAGATCCATCCACGACCACGCTAACTCGCACTGTTTCATGCGAGTGATGGACGGTAGTCTGCAGGAGGTTCAATACTCCTGGCCTGACAGCAGCCACTCTGGTACTCGGCCCATGGCGGAACTTGCCACCTGCGACCTGTGCACCGACACAGTCACCTACATCAATGGTAGGCAGGCGACTAGGAGTGTGGGTGTAATGTAGACTGGTCTCTGCAGATTCTGTGGGACTTCACCGCATCCAAAACACCAGCCACACTGACCCCGCAGTGTCCCTGCACCTGTACAGTCCTCCCATCACCACCTGCCACACCTTTGAGCAGAGGACAGGTAGGGCCCACTCTTGTGCAGTCTCTTTCTACTCCAAAACAGGAGCACTGTGCTCCAACTACTCCACCTGTAGTGGCTCCACGTCATAATGTACAACTGGACCCCTTACATGTTTTGTTTTGTCAGACACTGTATAATTATACTGCGTGTCTATTGCTGTCATGTGATACATCCTGTCACGGTTCTGACTGGAGTGTAGGAACAGTCTGGTCATCTGAGCCATGTGGCTGCTGAACATCAGTATCCACTGCCTACAGATAAATATTTATTATACCACAAGGATACTTGTACGACCAAGTATATACCAGCATACCGGCTTACTGCGTGTTGACCTCTTCCCAACAGTCCTCGTACTTGGGGCCTTTCCTCCCATACCACCTCTAGTCACCATCATCTTCCTCCTCACTCCTTGTGTAGGGGGTGTGGCCTGGCATCCCGGGCTTTCAAACAAGGTTTTCATTGAGCAGTACACCTCTTCGGCTAGTTCACGGACACGCACATCTCCAGAGAAACGTCTGACCTGCAACCATAGCAAACACTAATCTCTGCAGTCTTAATGCCACTGGGACCTTTCTGAGAGTGGCCACAACGTCTGGTACTAGTTGTAGGTCTTTGGCTGTCATCTGCACACTCTGTAGCTGCTGCAGTGTAGCCATGGCACCTGGAACGTCCTGCAGACAGTAAGTTAAAATGACTGTCCACGACTGTAACTATGAGTCTCACAAATGCCTGCAGAGAGAGGCTGGCCTTCAGGTTATAGTTCAAAACCATCAACACCTCAGTGCCTGGCATGTCCTTATGCACACTGAACCTTGGCAGGTAACCTCTGAAGGAAAAGGGTTTATCAAAGCAATGGAGTGTTTATCTGGCGAGATGCTCACTTCTTTTCCTTATTATCAGGAATTGCTTCACATGTTGACAAGGGTTGCTGGCTGGTAGGTTCAACCACCTCACTGGACCTCTCTACACTATCACCAATATTCTTTACTGCCCCATTCCCTCTCTCTGTCTCAACATCTCCAACCATTTCTTCTCCTCTTCTTTCCTCCTCCTCTGCTTCAGCCTCCACCACCTTCTCTTTGTCAGTTTCCACTCTCCTTTCTGCTTCAGCCTCTATCATTTCAGTTTCATCCTCTCCTCCTCCCACTTCCACTACACTCTCTCCCTCCCCTTCCTCCTTCATCTCTTCAGCAGTCACAGCTTCCTCAAATGCTGTCTCCTCGACTCTTCTTACTTCCTCAGACTCCTCCATGACCTCTTCTTCCACTGAGTTCACTGCTGGCAAAGTGGTTTCACTGCTGCTTGGAGTTGAATCACTTGACAAACAACTGTTACTGCGTGTTTTTCTCTCCGATTTCCTCTCTCTCTTAGAGTGTGTCACAGTGTCAGCCACATTCTGTGCCACCTGGCCTCTCAAACTGTTCCCTTCATCTTGCCCCTCCTCTTTCTCCAAAGATTGGTTGCACTGGAGACTAGGAGTTTCATCATCCACAGCAGCTGAAGACTTCATTTGCGGAGATTTCAGCTCCATTCTTGCTGCAAAGTTCTCAGTATGTGGGCTACAATTCCTTCACTGCTTCGCTTCTGCCTTCGTGTCATGTAGCGAGGTTGGCCAGGCACTGCAGTCACAGAATGCACAATATTGTGGGAAACATTCAACGAACAAACTTCCCCCAATTTCAAACGCCAAAGTCCTAGTGCAGCTCTACCTTGTGGTTTAGATGAAGAGGGGTAAGGAAGGGGAGGCAGAGGTTTGCATGGTGGGGTGGTAGACAAACCCTCCTCAGCCACAACAGAGGACACCTGGCGAACAGGAGGACTCTTTACCGACCACCAGACACAACACACACTGCCAAACCTGCTCCATTGCTGCCTCGCAGCTGCCATCTTGAGGCTGCCCACTCCTGTCTGGCTGCACCGACCTTCGACGTCTCTTGCTGGAAGGTTTCCCAAGAGTTATGACCAGATCAGGGTCCTCCTCGATCTCCCAAATGGCCTCCGCAAAACCCCGCACCTTCTTGGGCAGTGAGAACTTTCGCCTGTTCTCCTCATAGGTGCAGAGGTCTGCTGCAGGCAGCCAGGCACTGCACACAGATAGACAAGACATTGGGTACCAACAGACTGAGGGGAACTAACTGCTCGTGAGTGCCGTAGAAAAATATCCAGAACTTTCCCTGAGGCCGTGACTGCCCCTTTGGTGACCGAGCGACCTGATCCAGTGGAGAATAAAAGATACTGTATACACTGGACACAGCTTGACTAACCTTAGCCGGCCAGTGAGGGTGTCCTCTCATCTTCGCCCACACCAACTGACCCTCTCTATATGTCTCAGACATTGCTAACCACCGTTTGGGCTTCTTGGCTTTTGCAGCCTGTGCCCTTTGACCCCACACGCGCCGCGGCGCGGCTGGTAGTGTTTTGTGGGGGTCGGCGTGGTACCGTTGTATGTACTTTCTAGCTAGCTGGGGAATATGCGGATAGTCTCGCCTTACACTGTGCTGGGCTTCGTGGTGGTGTGGACGATCGTCATCTTGCTGGCCTCACGGCAGTTCTTGTTCAATGCCCACCAGGTTGTATATGGCTCAGTACTTGCGCGTGTGACCCCCCGTCCCCTCTTGCTGCAGTCCTGGTTCCAGCATGAAGAGCAGAAGATGGTTCAAGAACTGTCGGTGAAACTCGACAATCTGGATTCTCGCGACACCAGGCAGCTAAACGAGGTGTATGCTGCGGTCAAGAGGGTAGAAGGTAAGCGATGGTAGCATGCTAGTGTGAGTAAGACACCTCTTTTTTTCCTCAGTAATGCTGCACAAGATCCAGGAGTGTCTTAGGTCTGACAACTGCAGTGAAAAGAAAAACAGACCGACCCGGTCCGCAGTGACTACGCAGCCAGCTACTATCGAGCCTTCTGTGGCTGTGCTGGTCATAGCTTGCAACAGAGACACATACATCAGACGAACACTCGATTCCCTTCTCAAGTTAGTCCACCTCCACTCTTTGTATGCGATCTCTGGCTGTGTGTTGTGTACAGACACAGACCCAGCGCTGGCCTCTTCCCCATCATTGTCAGTCAAGACTGTGGCCACACCCCTACTGCTAATGTCATCAGTAGCTATGGCAACAGACTAACGCACATCAAGGTATGTGTACAATTATGAGAGTGTAGTGATGTTTGCCATCTCCACAGCAACCAGACCTGTCTGACATTGTCCTGACGAAGGAAAAGAAGGACATAAAGAACATGAAAGCTCTGAAAGGTTACTACAAAATCTCCCGCCATTACCGCTGGGCTTTGGGTCAGGTGTTTGATGAGATGGGCTACAACTATGTGCTCGTTGTGGAAGGTGGGTGACTGTGTGCTCTGCTCTGGTCACTGTGAGGGTTTGGCTGCAGACGACTTGGAAGTGGCTCCGGATTTCTTCTCCTATTTCTCTGCGCTGCAACGACTGCTGGACAGGGACCCCACCATCTGGTGTATCTCTGCCTGGAACGACAATGGGAAACCTGACAACGTGGATCTCCAGAGCAACGGTTGGTGCCTGTTGCCAGGGGGGACCAGCCCAAAATTTCCCTGGCCTTCCTCCGGCAGCCAAGTTGTATCGCTCTGACTTCTTCCCTGGGTTGGGGTGGATGATGACCAGGAGGCTGTGGAAGGAGCTGCAGCCCAAATGGCCAGAGAAATACTGGGACGACTGGATGAGGGAACCAGCTCAGAGGCAGGGCAGGTGGGTGGGGTCTCACGCTGACTGAACTATATAGAGCCTGTGTTTGAGTGTGTGCGTGTTTTCAGGTCTTGCATCAGGCCAGAAATCTCCCGCACCATCACATTTGGTGACAAGGGAGTCAGTGCTGGGCAGTTCTACAGGCAGCACCTGCAGTACATCAAACTCAACTCAGACCCAGTCAACTTCTCCAAGCTGAACATGAGCCAGCTGCAAGAGGTGAGTATGTATAATGGCTCCTGGCTCTGTGCACCTGACAGCTACACATCAGGCTGAGTACGACAGGCTGTTCCTGGACAGAGTTCTGGCTCTCCCGTCACTGGCGGTGACAGACGTGGTGAATCAGAGGAGACCAGAACTACGAGAGGTGCAGGTGACCTACTCCACTCACAAGGAGTTTGAAGCCAATGCCAAGAAGATGAAGATAATGTTTGATTTCAGAGTGAGTGGCTGACTGGGAGTGTGTGGTCCCTTTCTCATCTGTGTCTGCCTCACTGACAGGGCGGAGTCCCACGCACTGCTTACAAGGGTGTGGTCAGCCTCATGTACAAGGGGCGCAGAGTTCATCTGACACCCCCTCAACCTTGGACAGGCTACGACTCTATTTCATAGTAACAGGTCACTCATAGCAACATTCTCCCTCATCATATTATACACCATCTCAAACTGGCTGTATCACAGTGTGTGGCTAATCTCCATACTGTTTCCATGCTTGGCAAGATGTGTCTGGATCAGGGCTCACCATGGATACCCCTCTCTTGTTCAGCAGTGCTTCTAACTGGGTTTCCAGAGGTTCATTTGTTCCTCTCAAGCTATTCAGTACCTGTAGATACACACGAGTTGCAATACACGTTCAGCCAGGGTTTTACATTCAACATGCACATAATACATAGTCGACTCTTTCCTTCATGTAACTAAAGTGCAATCCCTCGACACACTAGAAATGTCGACCCATACACATGTATGTGTATTTGTTGTCGATTTACTCTCTTGCTAATCTAGTACTTTAATCTGTGCTACACTTGAAGACGTTCTTATTCTACTGAGTATACCACACCCAATACTTGAAAGGCAATGGTTCAATACTGTATAATGTTCTCTTCTAGCACTCTGCTTATAACTATGGAATTTTGTAAGGAGCACAGTTCCACCTACTCCAGATTAGTACGTATCATTATAACAATGCCACTGAAAAATGAGAAGCGCACACACAGGTCAGAACCGCAATTTGACTAATTCACTTGGTTTTCACGTAACATAGTATCCGTATGAAAAAATAAATCGAGCCAGTGTACAATATAGAGAGCTGAATCAATGAAAAGCACTAAAGTGCAAACCCTCGGCACACTATATAGAAATGTGGAACCCATACACAAGTGTGGCACCACCACAATTGATGGTCTTCACCATGCATCAGCATGTTATGCACCATTTCCATGGTATTATCAATAGGTGAAAAAAAATGGCCAGCCGCTATATCTGTTTGAGGGCAAAAAAATCTATAAGGTTGAAAAATTGCCAACCTTTTATCTCTCTATTAATATTCGTATTACCCGTGGATTGTTTAGTGCAAAAAAAAATTTTACCCAAGGTTGGAAAAAAAACAACGCCCAGCCCTTCATCTCTCCAGACAGACGTCTACGGACGCAGTGCTATGTCGAACTGTACGCTGCCCTTTGAGAAACATGGGTCAGTGGTAGATTTGTGGGTAAGGGGAGGAACCAGAGCTGTTCCCAGCCAATGCTCTGGACCACCTGACACTTTCAGTGTGGGATGGGATACGAACCCCGCACCTATGGTGTCAGTCCCCACGACTCTAACCACCTAGCCACTCAGGCTGGCCTGGAGAGGTGATGAAAAAACGTTCCATATATACCAACACTCCTATTACATCATTGTAAAAAAGGCGTACACACCCGGGATCGAACCAGGGACCTCATGATCAAGAGAGGGGGTGCTTATCCATCAGACCACCACCATTACTTGAATGGGAACAGTGTAAATGAAAAGCACTGAAGTGCAAACCCTCGGCGCACTGTGACGCGCACGCGTAAGTAAACGCATGCGCCATACCACTAATTGATGGGCTGGGTTTAGTTTTAGCTGTTACTCGTGGTCTCTTGCCAGCTCGCGCAGAGTCTGATGCGGGCTAACTACACTACTAGATAGCATGCGAGAGGCGATACACGCCCTGCGTTGCATCTTCTGGTGCATCCGAAGTACGCAGAGCACGCGGATCGATCCGACTGTGGTGTCCGTTGTGTATTTGCATATTGGCTTTTTCGCGCTCTAGCTTTGCAACGGAGCAGTTTCAGAGAAAACCGCCTTTATATTCTGACCTTCGTCGCCCGTTGGGTAGATGGTATCGTTCCTGGGACGAACAGACGTTCCAGGAGTGAGATATAGAGTAACAGACACACAGACACACAGACCCAAGTACTGTAACCCTCGCTGCGCATGCGCACCGAGGGTTAACTAGTATCCTTTTTGGGTTGCTAGAGTCAACTGTCTCTGACCTTCACAATTCTCTCATTATATGCAATTCCACATCCATTCTTCCCTATCCATCCTTATTTAAAGCTGTGTCATTCGGTATTCTAGAGAAGAGGCCTGCAAACAGAGTGAGACGGACCTGAGCAGACCAGGTGAAATACAGCTGAGTCCTCTCATGGTCCCAGGAAGATGGTGTACTGCTGTCCAGGTCTCGCAGATTGTGCAGCTTGTCTGCCAGCGACACCAACTTCGCCTTGTGACTCTTCCGAGGAGCGGCCTCGATCTACCCACGACACAAACTAGAGGAACTCATAACAACAGTTGTCCGCCTAACCTGGTGCTTCTTTCTCTGCCACTTGGCCAGGCTTTTGTCGTCGCTGCACTCCTTCACAATGGCCGCCACCTCGTCCCCGAACTGTGCTTCCAGCTCTGCCTCCTCTGTCGCCGTGTCCTCCACAGTATCGTGCAGTAGAGCTGCCTGCAGCGTCGCTAGGTCCGTCACTCCTCCTTCCTTCCACAGCACATGTGCTACTGCGAGAGGGTGGTTGATATAAGGAGTCTTGTACGGGTCCTTTCTGCGCTGGTCCCTGTGCTTCAAAGCTGCAAAGTTAGCTGCTTCTAGAAGCCTTCCCAGGAGACTTGATACCTTCTGTGCTGCCATAATGGATAGATAGAGCTCCGCCCACTTTTGCAAACAAGCGGTAAAAGGGTTAAACTTTGCCCTCGACCGAACGACACGCACGGCTCTCTCCCACGTCCCACTGGCTGTCGGAAGGCATCGCCCGCCATGCAACTAGCACGGACAGTAGTGAGGATGATGGGTCGGCGGCTGGCTCTGCGGAAGGGAGTGGCCGTGAGTGTGGCGGTGCTGTTGCTACTCGGCTGGGGGCTGCTCTACCTTTCCCTCACGAGAGGCAAGTCTCCCGACGCCGCGGTCCCGCCTCCCGCACTCCCTGTCACAGAAAAAGTAACGTCAGCCACGCCGAATCTCAGCCCAAGAAGAGCGCCAGTCCATAAGAATCAATCTGTGTACCCGGCCCACCTGCGCAGTCCGCCCGCCAACCCTGCTCAGTGGGGGAACCATTCCATCGTCCATCACCAGCAGTGCAAGTTCACCGAGGTCACCGAGGTCACTGGTGTTGACGTACAGGTTAGGCGTCTCCTTGACGACATCTCTCCTCCCACTCTCTTGTCGTCATGCAGATGCTGGACGTTGTCGAGGAGATTCCATTTGACAACGCAAATGGAGGTGTGTGGAAACAGGGGTTTGAGATCAGTTACTCTCTTGACAGCTATGGAGACGAACCTCTCAATGTATTTGTTGTTCCTCACTCCCACAATGACCCAGGTATAATTATACACACATTCCTTTAGGACCCAAATTACACACGTGGATGCGTCTTTTTAGGCTCATACATGTGTAGTGCAACTGGCCCAGATTGTAATAATACACCCGAGGTCCCGGGTTTTAGTCCTAATGCCGCTGTTTTTCTTGTGTTTTTTGTGTTACGTACTTGCGTGTTAGAGTAACGTAAAGGCCCACACGACTAGGTCACCTCCCCACCCCCTGACACAGGGTGGTTGAAAACATTTGAGGAATATTTCAAGAGGCAGACAAAACTGATTCTGGACAAAATGGTGGCTGCTCTGAGCTCTGACTCGAGGCGGACGTTCATTTGGGCAGAGATATCGTACCTCCAGCTGTGGTGGAACCAGGCCGGCCAGGAAATGAGGGAGAAGCTGAGAAAGTGAGTATATACAAGGTCATGTGACAGTCACATGAGGCTCACGTGGGGGTGCAGGTTGGTGGATAATGGGCAGCTGGAGATAGTGACGGGAGGCTGGGTCATGAACGACGAAGCAAACACTCACTACTTTGCCATGATTGACCAGATGATTGAGGGGCACAGTTGGCTTGCCCACAATCTGCCAGGTATATACAACTCCACAACCTTTACCTTTCTGACTGAGAGTCTAAAAACCAATTTTTGGTTGGTGGGAATGTAATACCATGAAAAATCGTACATACCTGCAAAATGCTATCTCTGCACACACTCTATGTGTACGTCTATTTGCAGATGTGGTACCACAAAGTGGGTGGGCTATTGATCCATTTGGCCACACCCCCTCCATGGCATACGTGCTCCAGCGCAGTGGATTGACTGGGATGGTGCTGCAAAGAATCCACTACTCTGTCAAGAAAAGACTCGCTCAGACCAGGGAACTCGAGTTCCTATGGCGACAGGCCTGGGATCACCGTGGAAACACGGACATGTTTGCTCACATAATGCCATTCTACAGCTACGACATTCCACATACATGTGGTCCTGACCCAGCCGTGAGTTCCCCAAACTCCCCACCTTCTCTCTCGTCCTACTCACTCTGCCTTCTAGCAGTGGATACTCCACGATGGAGCATCTTTTGTCTACACAATGTTTCTGTAGATCTGCTGTCAGTTTGACTTCAAGAGACTGCCCGGGTCGAAGATAAAGTGTCCCTGGAAGAAACCGGCGCAAGCGATTCATGACAGAAACGTCAAGGAGAGGGCAGAGATGCTGGCAGACCAGTACCACCGGAAGGCTCAGCTCTATGTCACCAACAACCTTCTAGTGCCTCTGGGAGATGACTTCAGGTCAGTCCCACACCCTCTGCACTCGTGTTAGTCACGACTTCAGCTGTTTCTTGAGGTTCATTCATTAGCCCAGACCCCCAGTTCTAGCACACCTCCCTCATGTGTTCATGGAAGGCTGTACTTAGTGATGTGTCGATGTACATACATACATACATACATACATACATACGTACAGGTGGGACTCTGAGAAGGAAATAGAAGACCAGTTCAGCAACTACCAGAGACTAATGGATTTCATGAACTCTCAACCCCAGATGAAAAATCAATGTAGTACATTCCATTATCAGTAGGGCTCAACTGTAATTATCTGCCACCATCCCAGGTACAGTTTGCCACCCTCTCCACATATTTCACAGCAGTCCAGAGCAGTTCATGGGTGTCAGCTCACACAGAGGAAGGTGACAGAGCCTTTCCCGTTTTGTCTGGAGACTTCTTCACCTACAGTGACCGTGACGACCAGTATTGGAGCGGCTACTACACAACACGGCCGTTCTACAAACGCATGGACAGACAGTTAGAGGCTCGACTGAGGTTAGTTTTTGTCTTCCCCTCTCCTTCCCCACACACACCCTCACCACTGTCCCTCCTTCCCCACACGCATACACCCTCACCACTGTCCCTCCTCGCAGGTTGGCTGAAATCCTCTATTCTCTCTGTGTGGCTCGAAGTCTCAAGATATACCCCACCCTCCCCAACCTCTTGACCTCTGCCAGACGGAATCTGGGCCTGTTTCAGCACCATGATGGAATCACTGGTAATACCTCTGCAAACACTGAACATCAAAAGTTTGCCAAGAAAAGTACAATTCTCTTTGACGTTTGGTGATAAAATTATATGTTGGGTCATTGCTCAGCTCACATCAATTAATAGCATTGTGATGTTGGACTCGGAGAGTAACTCCGTCCTTGGCATTATTGTAAGGCCCCCAGGTGTTCTAATTAGCTTGTTCCTCTGGCAGGGACAGCCAAAGACAAAGTGGTGGTTGACTATGGTAGAAGAATTCTGGCAGCCTTGGAGCACGCAGACACCATCATCCAACACTCATCACAGGCTCTCCTCCTTGGCAACGATACTGTCGCCGACAGCCTGCACTTCTCACTGGTGGGCTCTAATTAGACCCCTCGGCCATTTAGAATGTTGTCGTGGCAGGGGGAGAGTCGTAGCACTCAGGACTCTTTGCCGCAGCCAGCCATTGTTCGTCTCTCGCTGGACGGTCCACAGACCCTTCTCCTCATCAACCCTCTCTCCTCCCCCTCCCAGAGACTAGTCTACGTCACCGTGGACATGCACTCTGTGTTTGTAAGACCTGGTCCCTACTAGTTGCTTCTCTCTGTCAGCTGCTGTGTTGGCAGGTCACAGACAATGACAACGGAACAGTCAGTTGTCAGGTGAACCCTGTTCTGGGAGGAGACGGATCTCCCAGCAACGACCACTACAAGCTGGTGTTCCTGGTGTCTCTGCCGGCCCTGGGCCTGGTTCAGTACCACCTGTGGCCAGCAGCAGGTTCCCAATCCTGCTCTCTCTCCAGCCTCAACAGCTTCCACTACTCCTACCAACACTCGTGAGTCATGTGTGAAGAGTCAGATTTCTTGTTACTACCGACCAAAATTACACGTGTGTGCAATATCAAGTTGGTATCAGGTGCACTGCTCCAGATACACAGTAACACTTTCTCTACAGAGTATTCTCAGAGCAGCAGAGTCTGCATGAGTCAAAGGACATCTCACTCTCCACGGATACCATGACAGCTGTCTTCTCTTCAGACACTGGGCTCCTTCACTCCATCACCAGACCTGGTGCAGAGGTGGGTGTTGCCACTGGCAACGGTGTGCACAGAGTTGTGATGTTTGTTGCAGGCAGTGGGTGTTGCTATGGATGTTGTGATGTATGGTTCACGGCAAGGGAAACAGCGGAGTGGAGCTTATATATTCCTCCCTGATGGAGCCGCTGGATCTATTCTTACCCCAGACACACGGCCCCGCATCGCTGTGACAACTGGACCATTGGTGAGCGGGAAATGCTGCAATGCAAGTAAAGGGGTTAAAATCATTCTCTAGGTACATGAGGTGGTTTCTTATGTGGGTGTGGTTTCGGTGCAGCAGAGACTAGGTAATGTTGAAGGAGTTGAGGGAAAGTCAGTTGCTGTCACTACTTTCACTGACATACACCAGGAGATGGACAAGGTATTATTGACAGGGTTCTCCCCATCCTGTGTTACTGTAGTTAACATCGTCCATAGGAGGTTGTCATGAGACTACGTAGCTCCATCTCCAATGACAACGGAGTGTTCTACACTGACCTGAATGGGTTGCAGCTGGTTCGGAGGAAGACAATGTCCAAACTCCCACTGCAAGGGAATGTGTATCCCATGCCAACCATGGCATTCATACAGGATTCACATCACAGGCTGTCAGTTCTGGGGGCACAGCCGCAGGGTGTGGCAGCCCTCAAACAAGGTCTAACTATCTCTCTCATACACATTTATCAGCAGGCAATCTCTAACTGAGTTCCTGGTTGTTTCTTTTTCAGAAAAGATCTCTCTCCTCAAACCTAGCTGTAATCAGCCTCACTGTTTAATTCATGAGTTCAGGTCCCATACAATTGGATCAGAACTCCTAATGAGGCATTTAAAACCAGGGCTAAATAGATTTTTGTTCATGGCAATACATAGTTAAGCCATGAGGCTCCAACTATTCAGTCAGTATACCCCTGCAGTGTGTGTCAGTAGTACCCCCTGCATGTGCAGGTTGGCTAGAGGTGTTTCTGGACAGAAGACTGTCTAAAGACGACGAACGAGGTCTGGGTCAGGGCGTCAAAGACAACAAGTTGACAGCAGCTCACTTCAGAATCCTCCTGGAGACAAGAGCAAAGCCTCTGACAGAGGTATCCATCCTTCCAGTCATGTGACCTCATTTTCTTCCTTTGCTCCCTGTAGAGCTCGCCTCAGCTTGCTTACCCTTCCTTCCTGTCCCTCGTCGCAATGGATACACTTCTGCACCATCCACATGTCTCCTTCACCTCCTCACAATCCAAGATCTTTGCTCACCTCCCTGCCTCCCTCTCTCTCCTCTCTCACCCCATCCCCTGTAAGCCATTCCCTTCAGTGCTTCCCTCTCTCACTGCCTTACTTTCAGGTGATATCTTCATGCTCAATCTGCGCTCTGACCTTTCCCGGCCTAAATCTGCTGTTATTCTTCATCGCCGTGGTTACGATTGTACTTTCACCTCTACCCCCGAATGGTGCCAAACCTCCAATGGAACGGTATGTGGACAAAACGTTTGCTACAAATACATGGTACTAATTCTGTTGGTAGGTGGAGTTGAGTCGACTGTTTACAGGGGTTACTGTAGCCATGGCAACAGAGATGTACCTGAGTCTTCTGTTGGAGAAGACGGCAGTGAGTGGTGCCAGTCTCTCAGTCACCATCCCTCCCATGGAGATTCAGGCCTTCTCTCTGCAGTGGAACCACCACTAGCCATCCTCCACTTTGTTTGTTCCATGATTGTCCTTAACTTATTGGTTTTCTAAAGCGACATCTGCAGTAACCAACACATCCACCAACGAAGGTGCCTAGTGCACACTACCGTCTTTATTCATCTCAATACTAGCCCGGGTTGCCAAAGTTAATGGCAACCAACCACACTGTAGCTGTGGCATAATGTACATACACATTTGAGATCTCTATCAGTGCAGTCTAATTAACCCTCGGCGGTGCGCATGCGCAGCGAGGTTACAGTACTTGGTCTGTCTTGTCCGTCTACGTTTTCTGCCACCACGCGCGACAAACAGGTAAATAGCGACACCAACGGGTTCAGCGCTTCATTTTTAAAAGGCGATTTTTGTAAAAGTGCCGCCTTCAGAAGTTATGGCATGAAAACCAAGTGAACAAGCCAATATGCAAATTAGCACAGGCCCGGTATCACAGTATATTTTATCCCCCGTGTATTTTATCCGGGGGACAGTATATTCTATCCGGCCGGATAGAATACTCTTAGTGTAGAATATCCGGGGTCCGGATATTTTATCCCTCTAATAAGAAAAGTTTCTGCGCATACGGTAAACGCGCGGGACCATTTTGTTGGGACCGTCGCTGCTCTCATGTATACCGAGTTGAATCTGCACGACTGCACTCTCTTTCTCTTCGAGACACAGCGGTTGCGCGGGTCTGCTCGCATTCACCTGCAACCTGAGCCCCACGCTCGCTGGGATATCCGGTAGGTGTTCTACAGTCCGCTGGTGTAACTCCAAACAAGGCTGTCATCGCATTCTGTAACGTTGAAATCCCCCACAGAACCTCAGAACAACACACCCCGCCTGCGTTTCGACACTCCTAATAACGCACAGCACGGTGTATAAACTATCCCGGGTGCGGATAGAATATCCTAGGAAATTTTATCCGGGGGGGATAGAATATCCTATCCGGCCGGATAAAAATTCGGGGGGATGAAATGTACCGCGACACCGGGTCCGCTTGCTCGGTGTACGTTGGAGGCTCAAGAAGTCACAACGAAAGGGCGTTTATCGACTCCCGCATGCTATCTACTACTGTAGCTAGCCCGTGTCAGACTCTACTTCGCCGAGGGTTTGCACTTTAGTGCTTTTCATTTACGCTGTTCCCATTCAAGTAATGGTGGCGGTCTGATGGATAAGCACCCCCTCTCATGATCGTGAGGTCCCTGGTTCGATCCCGGGTGTGTACGCCTTTTTTACAATGATGTAATAGGAGTGTTGGTATATATGGAACGTTTTTTCATCACCTCTCCAGGCCAGCCCGAGTGGCTAGGTGGTTAGAGTCGTGGGGACTGACACCATAGGTGCCGGTTCGAATCCTCGACCCGCACTAAAATGTCAGATGGTCAGAGCATTAGCTGGGAACAGCTCTGGTTCCTCCCCTTACCCACAAATCTATATACCACTGACCCACGTTTCTCAAAGGGCAGCGTACAGTTCGGCATAGCACTGCGTCCGTAGACGTCTGTCTGGAGAGATGAAGGGCTGGGCGTTTTTTATATTTTTTTCAACCTTGGTTTTTAAATTTTTTTTTGCAGTAAACAATCGACGGGTAATACGAAAATTAATAGAGAGATGAAGGTTGGCAAATTTTCAACCTTATATATTTTTTGGGCCTCAAACAGAAATGGGGCTGGTTATTGTCATCATCAGTTTTAAAAAGCGTATAAAACAAAATTGTGATTGGTGTGGTAATATTGATTTAAAACAACAGAAACAGCCTCAGGTTATTTTTCTGATCTCACTGACACACCAAAGGGCAACATTCAGCACCTCCGGCAGAGCTCTTTCAGCCCAGACTGTTCCGAAGAGCATTCGTTAACTTATTTTCTAGCCTTGTATGGAAGCATGTATTATTAACGAGGCTGCAAGCTGAGCTACGGTGGCAACTCAGCAAGGTGTGTTCCATCGTATGATATGTGCAGCTATGATGTACATTTTTCCAATTTGATCAGCATTTTGGTTATGGATAATGGTGATAACAATGAAGGAGGAGGAAGTTCACAGTCCAGTTGACCCAAACCCACCACCTCCTCTCTCTGACTCTGGCAGTTCCTGTTTGACAAGAGAGATAACATGATCAGCAATGTGACCACTAGCTCACCTCCATCTCCATGACATCAGGAGTCATGATCTTCTCCAGCACCAGTTGAGCAATCCTGTCGCCTTTCTTCACTGGTGTTAGTTTGACTTACAACCTTGCTTGCTCGATAATTAATGTTCTCTTCTACCTTGGTATGGATTCTGTGCAAGATTGAATAATACCACGCCCACATTCCCACGGTAATCAGCATCAATGACACCAGCTGCATACAATATTTTAAACCGGTATCCATGGAGACAGGGACAATACACTAACCTCCTACATCAATGTGATGTTTCCATGCCATGCTTGAGCGAGGGGCTGTGAAATTAGACATTAGCTAATCAGTCATACCACATGCTGTATACCTATTCTTCCATAGCAGCCATCAGGCACTGCAACAGCCAAGTCAGTAGGCACGAGTTCCTTCCCTTGAGCTGGGATTACCACATCTGCAGCACTGCAGGTGGTGGTTAGGGAGAGGAATACTAACGTCACGTGAGCACTCACCTGTACAAGTCATATCCAGCAGCCTGCGGCGATCCTCGGGTGGGCAATACGGCGTCTTTGCTCAGTCGCTTTACGTGCAGAGCACTCTGCAGTCGGATTCTTTTCTCTCCTCCGTTGACCAGTGCGTCTAAAACCGACATGTTTTCAGGGCTCGCTCACACAGGAACGCGCGCGCGCCTCCATTTTCCCGCGCAGCTTAGCCGGCCGGCCGTCGTGTGTCCCGCGCGCGCGCGGTCGGCGGTGCAGTGGTGCATGCGCAGTGTACGTCGTCGTACGTGTGTACGTGTGTATGTGTGTAGTGTGTGCGTGCGTGGTGGTGCGCACGCAGACGTGAATCATCACCACAACAAAGCATTTTGAGACAGCGGGTAAACAGCAAATATTTCCGTATAATATGTCAGGATAACACCGTGCACCAGTAAACAAAAACATGGCTACTTCGGTCGCAGTGTTTCTGGTAGTGTTGCTCTTTTCCCTCTATAAACAGGTGAGTACTAGAGAGAGAAGAGCTCACTCGTAACGTTATTTCTGATCTTGTCCAGAGCTTCGGAGAGCCAAGCCTTGCTCTGCTACAAGTAGATAGCTCCGTGAGGAAGGAGACATTCTGTGCCGTGTACAACAAAGATTGGGGCTCCGTGCCTACAGGGAACCGGCCCTCAACCTGGGTAAACCTCCTGTGTATACCTCTCTTCTTGTCCCTCGACGACCGTCTCGCTCTCTCACCCAGTTCCCAGCAGAGGAGGCCAGTGATCTCCTGGCCTGTTCTCACCAGAGCCTCTCACAGGTAGGAGCTGCCGTGGTCAGTCTCCGTGGCAACTGCTCCTTCTGTGAGAAGGCCAGTTACGTGGAATCTGCAGGTGGAAGTCTCCTAGTGGTTGTCTACAATGAGTCTGATTTGGTAAGAGTTTCAGTGACCAAAGGGTTAAAGTTAGTATCCCCTGTGCAGTGGGTGGAGCCAGTGTGTGCGTTGAGAAACCACACCCCCTCCATCCCCGTCCTACTCGTCAGCAATGCCACTGGTTGGAGCATTCTTCACTCTCTCTCCCTCTTCAATCTCACACTCGGACCCTTTGTACCCCCACCCGCCACCTTTGACCCTTCCGCCATTGTTACTCTTATTGTTGCCGTGGTTACTGTAGTGCTGGGGTCCTATATTGCCAACAGTCCATTTAAGTTTATGAGGTATAAATGGCATGTTGATTGTGGCAGCATTTGAATTGGGTTGGAAATAGGTATGGTTTACTGGTGAGGGAAGGAGAGTCTTATGGAGTGGCAGCTCAAAACCAGAGAAAGGAGAAAGAAGGCGGGGCCAAAGTGTTTGTCATGACACTGCTCTCCATCCTGGCATTCCTGGCCCTCATCTGCCTCGTCCTGTTGCTCCTCTACTACTTTTACTACCCCATGGGTATGTATGTTACTATAACTAAGAACAGTAGACCTGTACATTAGTGTGTTTTCAATATTATGTTCTCTGTGCACAGTGTACATTGTGATAGCCGTCTACTGTGTTGGAGCCATTGTGGGGGTCTTCTCCCTCCTCTCTCCATTTTTTGCCCTCCTCCCAATCTTCAGGAACTGCAGGTAAGGCAGTTCTGACAGACCCAATTCCATGATAATATTCAACACTCACTCTCCCTCGTCAGAGTCCCGGAGAACAAGCTGCCTCTGTTGGAATATAGACCAGACCCAAGGTTTCCTCTAGCTCTCTCTCTATGTGTCTGTCTCACTGTGTGGTGGCTGGTTGAGAGACACTCAGACTATGGTTGGGTCCTACAAAACATCCTTGGTATGTATATCCACATTCTAGAAATTGCTTCAAACATGTCTCTCACCTCCCACTGATCTCTCAGGGTTTGCATTTCTCGTTCACATCATGAAACGAATGATGTTCCTGCCTACTTGGGTGGTTGCTGTGGCAATGATGTTTCTGTTCTTCTACGATATCTTCATGGTGTTCATCACTCCTTTCATCACCGAGGTCTGACCAAAACTCCTTGACAACATACACCAACTATTATCCACAGGACCATGAGAGTGTGATGGTGAAGGCAGCAACAGGGGGAGGAAGGGGAGGGGGAGAGAAAGATACAGAACTTCTCCCAATCGTATTCATTGCCCCAAAGCTCCTCCCATCTCTACTGACCCAGACCTGCCCCGCAGACCTCACAGGGTCTCTGCCATACAGTCTGCTTGGCTATGGAGACGTGGGGGTCCCTGGGCTGTTGGTTGCTCTCTCTCTCCAGTTTGACATGCGGAGAGGAACCGCCTGCAGGTTCTGGCCTTACTTTTGTGTCGCCAGTCTTGGTGAGTTGCAGCATCGAGGGTTAATAATAGATGTCTTTTGTTCATTATACAGCCAATGTTTGTAAGAACCTGTGTTCCGTCCTCAGCATACTGTGTTGGACTAGTCTGCACGTACGTCGCCCTCTTCCTCACCAAAACAGCACAGCCAGCACTACTCTATCTAGTGCCCACCACCCTTGGCTCAGTGGCAGTGCTGGCATTGTGTCGGAAAGAATTTAAATTCTTCTTCACAGACAAAGTAAGCCACTGACACTATTATAATACACATTTATCCATTATCACAAAACAAGTAAAGAGATCCTGAAAAACAGGCCCTCAATACTTTCGGGTGGATGGACATCGTTTTGAGTCTGTCAATCATTAAAGTATTGATTATACAGATGAGAGCAAAAGAAAGGAGCGTCGGGGGAAGAATCACAGGCTCAGTACAGCCAGACTCAGACACAGAGTTCAGTGAGAAAGAAACGTTGATAGACAAATAGCCATTATCAGTTCATGTCTCTTATTAGTGTTGTGTGTTCTCTAAATCATTATCAACTGGTTTAGCAGTGGAGGAACAAAGGTGTTGGCTCAACTAATAATTATAGACATGGCAGGGTACTCAGTATAGGTAGGGAGAGAGAATGTGATCATTATGATTGAGGGGTGATTGAAGAAAGATCAACTGCGCCTAGCCCTAGTGCCTTCTGCCATCAAAAGAACTTCTTTGCCACTGCATCCTGTCTCTGGCGGTACACCTGGTAACCCAGGACCAATCCCAACACCATCACCATGACAACCAGGAAGAGTGTCGGTGAGACGCATGACGTGGGGTGAGAGTTCACAGGAGGACACTGGTGAGAGGCCGAGTCCTACAGTGAGGGAGAGAAACATGGAGAGCTGGAGTTAAGACTTTCACTTTACCTTCAGTCTCTGTTCCACAGCAACCAGTCGCTGGGCATTCTGCTGCACCAGTGTTTTCACATCGTACAGGGGTTGCATCTGCTCTGAAGCCACACCCCCTCCTGATTTACCCTCCACTAGGGCCCTAGAGACAGATCCACTCACTCTTACCCACTGCTAGAGTTGCCTTTGCACTAAGTATATACCTCATTTGAGCCAACTGCTGTAGAATGACAGTCTCTGTGCTCTTGATGGCAGCTGTGTCAGGAGCACTTCGCTGTGCCTGCCCCACTCCACCTGCCAGTAGAGAATCAACCTTATTGCTCAGCTGGCTGCAGGGGTCAGAGTTCAGAGGTCAGACTGCGGAGGACGATGACAGACTCACGAGAGTTCTCGGCTCAGCTGAGCTTGCATGTCAGCAATGTGACGGACGTTCTGCTCCATCTCAATCTCATACTGCCAGTCGCCCATTCCCACGTCATCGTGTTTCTTGAGGTAGTCTTCCCTCTGCTGGTCAAACTGGTCTGACAGGCTAGTGTACTTGTCAGCCAGCTCGTCTACTTCAGCCTGGTTCACCTCCCGAAGTACCTGCAGGTAGAGAATTACATAATACACTTCTGGTTAGCCGATCCAGTGGAAACTCTGACCTCCTGAGCCCTCTCCTCCAGTGGTACCAGGCGATGTGTGAGGAATAACATGACGTCATGGTCGTCAGAGAGACCTCCTGTTGCCGCGGTGATGCCAAAATATCCCTCCTGCAGTAGGTTGCTAGGCGACTCCACTCGCAAACACAGTTGGTAGTCGTCGACAACGGAGCTCATTCCCTCGTGAACCCACACCTGACGGAGATCAGAGTTCACCCAGCAGGTCACATGACAGTCACATGACCAACCTCAAATGTACCACGGAGGTAGATGATCCTCATTTTCACGGGGTTTGGTTTGTTCCTAAAGTCCTTCATACACGACCCAATCTCCTGACCTGTCCCATCACTGCATGCATGTGCACAATACATCTCATTTCTCATTTCTAGGCCTCAATGATATTTTCATTAGAGAAACTGTTAATCTTTCTTAGCAAAATTTTGGCGGCAGAGACCATCGTACAGGATATTGTGGGTAAGACATACTGTGTCAACAAAAACTTCCCACTGAGTGGCTCACCTGCTATGGTCAAACCGCTGAAGTCCATCATTAGTGACTGCCATGATCTTTGGGTTATCATGCTGCATTGTGGGGTATTAGTAATAAGGTTGCCATGGTGACAATGGAAGCCTCACCAGTCCATTGTTGTCGAAAGAGTCCAGGATGACACCCAGTCCATGCCAAGTCTCACTGTTGCCAAAAGCCATTCCTTCAGAGCCTGGAGCAGCAGTGAACCATATTGCCTGTGTAGGGGGAGAGAGTGTGTGTGTGAAGAGAGAGTGAGAGTAGGCTACACTCACCATTCCATCAGCTCCAGTCTTGAGTCTGCCAGTCACACGAAGGGTAATGTCGACCATCCAGTGTTTGGCAGAGAAACTGCCCGTTGTCCAAATCCATCCTCGTCTGCTCTTGATGGAGGGGCACACCCTCACCTGGTCGTCACTAGGAATACAGCCTGCAGCGAGGGAAGGGGTCAGGAAGAAGAGAGAGAGAGTGGCTCAGCTCACTTCCTCCGTGGTTCCAGAACGGGACGTCTCCCTTGGAGTTGGTGACGTAGGGTCCTTTGAAGCTGTGCTGGTACTCGAATTTGGAGTGTACGTGGGTTAGGACAGGCAGCATGGCCGAACAGCCTCCTACCACCAGCAGAACACACGCCAAAACCAGCCTCATCTCCCGCATTTTACCGAAAAGCGAAAGCCAAGAACCTTTCCAACAGAGATCGAGCAGCTACAACACGCGTACAATTACGGATAAATAGAGAGAAAAATTATACAAAACACGCAATGCATGCGCGCGCGCGTAGCGAACACGAAGCGTGATCAGCGCAGAAAGGCGCAGAGAGAATGGCGTCTCGGGAATTGGAGAAGGCTGGAGGAGGACAAGTCGTGGCAATCTAGCGTAGCTGCCGAACCTTATTAGTCACCGAACAGAGTAAACTATAAATCGCTGCTAAGTGCCGATCTACTGACTGACGTAAATGATTTCTGTTTGGACGTGCATAGAATGCTGTCGGAGAAAGTGGTGCCTGTGGAGGGAGAGCCGGGAGGTCTAAAGGCTCGACTGGCCGCAAGGTTCAAGAAACGGCCTGAAGAAAGCCCGGAGAAGAAGGTATGAGTATTATCAATACTCCGTGCCCGCAACGACATCTTCCATTCATCGTAAACACGCGTCGAAGCGTTTTAGCTAGTTGGTGGTCTGGCTAAAACGATTGTAGAAATTAATAACAATTTGAGCCTTTCGTTGCCGATACCTACGTATATGAAACGTGACAAAGAAGCAGATAATTGGGACGTGATTGGCAGGCATTGTGGCAGTTGGCCAGTACTGATGATGCTAGCCACCGCTATAGTACAGAGTGTGCTGACTGGCATGCTGTTGTACACACACACAAACTGCCCACACCCAGCGACAACAGTTGCAGGACTACACTGCCTGGGTCAACAACTACCTCAAGAGAAAGCCAGGCACTCCACTGGTCACCGACCTGCGATGGAGCCTGGGAGACGGTGTCATTTTTGTACACCTCGTGGAAATTGTTGGTACGTTTTAGAATAGATATTCTATGGTTAACGTCTGTAATAGTACCAAGTCTAGATTTTCAAAACAATGAGTTTAGCTGCCCACACCACCAGAGGTTCCTTTTCACTGGTTGATATGTAATACCTTCCCTCTCACCCAACTTCCATTCAGCAAAGGCGCAGGTGGCCGGAGTAGAGAGGTGGCCGTCGTCTGCCGAGGGAAGGAGACTGAACACGGAGAGAGCTCTCGAGTTCCTCAGAGGAGACGGAGTTATGCTTCACCTCGACGCCTGCAGAGGTATATACAACTTCTATACATTGGAACTCAAAGTGTCCATATTAGCTATCCCAATTTCAGAAGAACAGTTTTGGGGGAAGTCATTATTTCAGGGTGTCTTTAGAGAGGGATTCCACTGTTCTTTCTCCTCCTCCCGCACTACCCAGACCTGTTGGAGGGGAACGTGAAGGGAGTGATGAAAGTGATCCTAGCCATAGCAGAGAGATACCAACCAAAATCTGTCAAACCCCGGACAGTCGTGCCTGAGACCTTGCGACCTGCCAACCACACTGCTCCACTCCCAGACTCCCAGTACGGCATTCGTCAGGAGCTCGTACGGCCGTACACTCATCCACAGACCCCCATTCGACCTGATCAGATCCAGTCCTCGTTCCATTCCAGTGGTCTGTACCCCAGTCCATACCCGGTGGACCCAGCCACTGAGGGAATGTACAGTTCTCCTATTGACACTCTGCCAGCAAACAAACCTCCACAGGTAATGTACAGTAGGTGTGGCTCAGCTAACATGTAGCATCTGCCAGCTTTTGACACTAAACTTGGACCTACATTATATACTAGCATACACAGCAGCTGAAGAAGGTGGAAAGAAATGGATTAACATAAGTTGGATACCCCACTTCTATGTTTTAATACGTCATGTACTATATAATTAAATCCCCATTGTTCCTATCAGGTGATATCTGGTAAGAAGAAACCTCCTCCTCCTCCAGTGATGAGAAGTCGAACTGGGTCAGCTGGAATGTATGGAATACCAGAGGAAATAGGGGAGGAGTGTGAGGGGCCAGTGGGAGTGGTCAGAGCTGAGGAGAGGGCGGGGCTATCTGGGGAAATAGGGGCAGTGGTGTCAGGACTAAGTCAGTTTAAGGCAGAGCTGTTGCAGCTACATGCAGTTGTGAGTCCATTCTTCTCTTCATGTGAGGGTATACATATCACTTCCTCGCTCTAGCTATTGCGGAACAATGACGGAATCCGTGATGTCGGTGGAAGTGGTGAGATGGGGAAGAGGGGAGAGGTGGGAGAGAGAGGATGGAGGGAGAAAGAGTGTGAGGAAGAAATTGTCTCACTGCGAGATCAACTAGGCCACCTACAAGATGAGTGTACTCAGGTGACCCACCCAGCAGTAAGGTTTGGTGCAGTATGAGATGTCTGTCCCACAGGCAGAGGCAGAGTGTACAGCTCTCAGGAACATGGTGGAGGAGAGAAATGCCTTCATTACTACCATGAAGAGTGAGATATACCGCAAGGAGTACCTCAACGACACGCAGAAGGCTGAGCTACACACGCAACTCATGCAGAAAGACACCCACATCAAGAAACTAGAGGTAGTTCTATTTGGTGCACACCATGGATGACCCATACTGTGTCGTGCAGACTGACCTGGCAGATTGCCACGGTAACCTGGAAGCCAAGGAGACAGAGTTGGAGGCTGTGCGGGTAGACCTGGAGCGGAGTCAGGCCACGATGGAACAGAACAGGGCCGAGGTGGAGCAGCTCCAGGCCGAGCTAGGCAGGGTCTCAGCCAGTGAAGAGAAGCTGACTCAGAGACTGTCTGCCAAGGACAAGAAGCTGTTGGCATCAGAAGAGAGGCTGAGTGAAGAGAGAGAGAAAGGGACTCGTCGCACGCAACTGGTTGGTGATCTCTTTCTCACGTCTCTGAAGTGGCAATTCCTTGAATGTGTAGTCTTAATTGCCTCAGTATGCCCAAGTTGGGTCGCATCGCACTGAAATGTGGCACACGCGATGCGGCATCGTATCTTGAGTACCAAGAACTCTCCCACAGGTGAGTGAGTATCTGGAGGCTCTGGCTGAAGGTCTAGCCCAGCTGACCTCTGACCCAAGCCAGACGGAGCAGCTGGAGGGGCTGAGGAAGAAGGTGGCAGACATGGCGGGGCGACTGGACCAGCCTCTCCCCAGCTCACCCGGTCGCCGGAGGAGGAGAGACAGAGAGTCTGACGACCCCTCCAGACACAGACGGAAACGCCGTGGCGACCGTGGGGGGCAGAATTCTGACTCAGCAGCCACGCCCTCTTCCCCCAACACCACCAGAGTACTGTATTACATGGCAGGGGAGAGCAAAACGGAGGTTCCTTTTGTTGCCATAGTTCCAAAGAGGTATAAGCTCTTGCCCCTCCCATTAAGACTAACCAACTGTTGCTATGGTTACAGAGCTGCCGAGGTGACACTCAGAGACTTCAAGGAGGCTTTTGGTCGTCATGGCGACTACAGATTTTTCTTTAAAACCGAAGACCCTGACTGTGGGATCGTTAAAGAAGAGGTAGGTGTGTCAGACATGATCTTTAACTCTAATTAGAGCCATCCCGTATAGATTTTGTCAGACGAGCAGATGTTGCCAATCCTGAAGGGAAAGGTGACGGCATGGATACGAGAGAGAGAGACGACAGCCGCAGTTGGCCCCGCCCCCCAGTAACTGTCACATATCACTATACTAGAACAGTACAATGTGTGTACTAGTCTTATCATCAGTCAATCTGTACAGTCACTTCATCAGTCATTTCCAAGACCTCTGACCTTGCATTCCTCCGCCCACTCGCTTCCCTCCCCCTCGGCCACCTCTAACAGATCCAGCCACTCTCTTGTTCTTATTATTGCCCACCACCCCAGTCTGTGAGCTCCTATGGCCAGTGTTACCATGACGATGTACTCTGCTGCCACTGACATCTTCACCAGCGGTAGTGACTTTTGGTTCACCAGAACTTGAAGGCCCTAAAAATCAACGAAAGTGAAATTATTCTCAGGGAGAAAAAATCTAGGACGGCCGACAAAGGTTCCACAGACTAGGTATACATTACCTGAGGATGGGTGAGAGTTGACCATCACGTGTAGGCAGCTGAGGTAATGTGCCTTCATTTCCTGGGCAGTTGCCAGTCGGCATTGGGCCACAGCTTGCTGCTGCCTCTCCCTCCCCACCCTCACCACCTCCTCCAACTGCAGTAGGGTTGGTTGGTAGAGTGGCTAACTGATTACAGAGCAAAACAGTGGCATAAAAGCAAACGAGAACTCCAGTACTGTAATAAGTGACTCCAAACAACCCTTTGTCTCGAAAACCATTTCACAACCTGTCTATTGAAACATTTTGTGGTGGGCAGTGAAACATACCATTTGCCGAACATCTTTCTTGACAGCAGCTACCGTGGTCTGGATCATGGAGTGGACCTGGGCAGCTGTCAACACTGGCTCCTTCTGCTTCTTAGCCTCCTCTACCGCAACCTACGACATCATTTCTTGCCTTCATGACATCATCAAACTTAGTACTCTCCACAAATAGAGTGAGGTGCAGAACTATTGGCACAAAGTGTATTTCACATTAATACATACACTGATAAAACTGCAGTGAACCAGTCTGCACATTTATACAATCTACCACCATGTCTTTGACAGCACTAGACTAATGTCACAGGAGCCACTAGGAATATGCTGTAGCAATGGCACCTGTTGTTACCTGAAGAGAGTGTGTCTGCCACCGAGTGCGAGCAGCGTCAACTGCAGCTCTCACTGCCTCCTCTCTCTCTTTCTCTACCTCTCTCCTCACCGCTTCCTTCTCCGCAGCCAACCTGCACGGAACCACAGGTTGATGTTACGTCTAGCTTTGTACCCAGGCAGGATAGTGCTGCTATTCCACCCTCCAATGTATACCCCAAAGTATTAGGGACTTTTACTTCCACTGCCTATACCTGGCTTGCCACTGCTGTCTGGTGGAGCACAGAGCTTTCTCCACACTTTGCCTGCTCTCTTGAGCCAGTGTCTGCCTCCACTCCTCTCTTGCTTTCTCTACTGCTTGTCTCACTTCATCTCCCTCCCTCACCCTCTCCATTTTCTCTTTCTTTGCTCTGGAGGACTGAAGTAACTGTTCCGTTCTGGCCTGCCACTCTTTTTGAGCCTGCGAATTAAAAAGGTTACATTACATTACATACCTATTATTATACTGCACCTGCTCCATGTTGTTCTTATACTCAGCCTCCATTCTGTCTTTCTCTCCACACACCTTCACATATTCCTCTTGAACACTAGACAACTGCGTCCTGTGTGCATGCGGCAGGCAAAAAAACCTTGCACACTACAATTTTTGTTGTGAGCCCAATGACAAGAGCATGGCAAAACCCATTTTGTTCCTCACTGACTGGAGAGCTGTCAGCTGTTGTCTGTGCTTCAAGAAGAGAGTGTCTTTCTCTGCAGCCATGGCCTCCCTCAGTCTCTCTGTGGCATCTTCGTGGAGCTGTAGACATGCTGCCCTGCACCTGCATCAGTGGAGAGAGACATAAGGCCAACAAATTCAGCACCATTCTGTTACATGAGAAAATAACTTCCAACATATGTACCACATGGGCAACATTCCATGCAACATGTCTCTTGTGAACATAAAAGTGTTCCTTATTGCACGCAACATGTTGCACGGACCAATCACACATGCATTGAAGTTGCATATTATTTTTCTCTAAACAAAGCTACTTACTTTTCCAAAGCCTCTCTTTTCTCAGCAGCGAGGCCCTCTCTTTCCCTCTCTCCCTCCCTCTCCAGTCTCTCGACCTCTGACCCCAGTCTCTCCACCTCCGGTTCCAATGACAACAGCTGACTCGACACTCTCAACAGCTCCTCCTGTGAAACATTTCCATGGTGACTGTTACTAGGTAACAAAACTTTTCCATGGTGACTGGGTATATACCTCTGCAGACTCTGATTTTCTAGTCTGAGTCTCCAGTTGCCCCTGGCAACAAGACAGCTGATATTGCACATCTTCTTTCTCTGCCGACACCTCAATCAGTCGCCTAGCAACATCCCCTGGCCCACTATCTGTAAAGAGCACATTACATTGAAGACCCTCCGTTCTACAAATAGACCAGTGGTGACATCACTGTTCTATTAATAGACAAGAGGTGACATTATCACCTGTAGGTGGGTGGAGCATAGCGCAGACCTCTTCCCTCTCAGCTCTAGCAGCCGTCAGAGCAGCTGAAGTTTCTCTCAGTTGCTGAGACACACGCTCAACTTCTGACACCAGCTCCTCCTTTTCGGCCCTCCACCTCTCCTCCACCTCCCTCTGTGGGCGGGGCTAACCACACCCACTTCCTACACTCCCCTCTTCCTCACCTTCTCGTGTCGCAGTATTCGCTCCATCTTCTCTCTCTCGCCACGAGACTCCTGCAACTGCTGAGTCAGCTCTCCCACCTGCCGACATCTCGCACCATACAACACCTCCAGCTGACCATGCCCATCAGATGATGACGTCATTTCCTGGTGGGTGTGGCCTGTCCGGAGTGCAGCAGGAATGCGAGTTTCAGAGATAGAGTTGATGAGGGAGTAAGCTTGTGCTGTTCCACTAAATACATCAGAAACCTCCGGCTGACCACACCCACTCAGACCACACCCACCTAGATCACGCCCACTCTGGTCTTCTAATAATGAAGACTCAGCAGAGAGTCCATCGTGCTCTTCCCCACTGGCTTTGTATTCAGTCGTGATGGGAGTAAGGTCACATGACTTGTTGGGGGAGATCACATGATCCAGAGCCACGCCCATTTCCTCACCCAGTAGGGTGGAATCCGCTGCACCATCCTCCGTGGTCACCGTGGAGACAGAGTCGTCAAGGAGATCGTCTTGCAGTTGTTCTGTAAGCAGCTGATGCAGCTACAGAAAACGATTGAGACAGCCTTATCTTTTTTGTCAAAACTAAGCACGACCAATTTGCAACAGTCATAATTTTTCTCAAACCTCTTCCTTTCTCTGTCGCTCCTCCTCCTCATCGTCTGAGACTTCCTCCTGTGCCACCAGAGAGAGAGGTTGGTGTTGTGTCTACCTATTTCCACCCACCTCTGCTCCCTGCACACTGAAGGCAATGGAACCACCTTCCTCCATGGTTGCTCTGGCGGCTTGAAAAGCCCGCCACGGGTGGTGCGCCTTTATTGGAACAATGTACCTAGACCCCAGATAAGGGTCATGGCAACGTATTTCCCGCGAACATGGCGCGAAACATAGAAGCCCCAGCCGAGAGCCGGACATCCACATTTGCACTTCGTCGTGTGAGGATTTCCATGTAGTCTTCATTCTCACAAGTCTCTAGAATCGAGGTGACGTGGAGACGACACCTACCAATGGCCGCCTCGGACGTGGCTCCTTCTGTCCCCGTCTCCCTGTGTGCTGGGGCCCTCGCCGGAGCTCTGGCCAAGACAACCATCGCTCCTCTTGACAGGACCAAGATCAGTTTCCAAGGTGGGTGATATTGATTCTGATGGTTTTTATTTCACCTACTGTCCCACAGTAAATGTAGCTAAGGGCCTAGGGTAGGGTTTGCCCTGCAGACTCCAGGTATAGGCAAGATATTTAGGATGTTTAGTTGGCCTTTCCTCTTCTCCATTTTCCTGCAAAAAGTACGAACAGTTTATGCCTACCGAATTTTTCCATAGTAAGCCCTAACACACTTGCATGCTCCAGCTGTTGTAGTCAGTAAAGTTTGATACACGAACATAGACCCCCACAGCTATCAGACGTGTTCTCTCCTCCACAGTGTCACAAGAGCCTTACTCGGTCCGTGGCGCTCTCTCTTTCATCAGGGCGACATGGAGAGAGCAGGGAGGGCGAGCTCTGTGGAGAGGAAACTCTGCCACCATGTTGAGAGTTGTGCCTTTTGCTGCAGTCCAGTTTGTGGCTCACGAGCAGTTCAAGTTGCTTCTCACACCCTCCTCAGGGTCAGCCATTGCAGAGAAAAGGAAGAGCTAGAATTCAAACATACCTTATCTCTGCAATATCTAGCTGATTAGTTTTCTAACTGGCGCTCCTGATTTTGTTAGTCCTACCTACCCTTCTCGTAAGCTTTATGTCTAATCCAAGAGTCACAAGAATACTCTGAGAGTTACACATGTCCTCCTCACCCAGTAAGCTGACAGCTGGAGGAAGGTTCCTGGCAGGGTCTCTGGCAGGCTGCACTGCCACTCTCTTCACCTATCCTCTGGACCTTGTACGAGCCAGGATGGCAGTCACTGCTAGAGACAGGTATATACACTCCAGCCACCAACACAGATGACACCTCCGAGAAAGGGACACCTTGCCTTGGGTTTGAGAACACTAGAACCATGTGTCCTTTATTCAGAGGTTTCCGAAGTTCCCACTGTTTGTATATCTATTATCCAGGTACCACCATGTGTACCACGTGGTGCTGCAGACAGCGAGGCATGGAGGACTCGGTGCTCTGTGGAAGGGAATCATTCCCTCCCTACTTGGAGTCATTCCGTACGCTGGAACCAGTTTCTTCACATACGAGACTCTGAAACAACACTACACGACACTCTACGAGACTCCGCCTCCTCCCCTACCTCGCCTCGCCTTCGGAGCATTTGCCGGTACGTTACCGTGATAGTGAAGTATCCATGGTTACAGTTGCCATGGCTGCAGGGTTGCTAGGTCAGAACGTGAGCTATCCACTTGACATAGTCCGTCGGCGGATGCAAACGGAGGGACTAGTGTCCAGTGTTTCATATCACACCATTCACCAGACACTGAGACATGTCTTCTCAACCGAGGGGCTCCGTGGACTGTTCAAAGGTGTCAGTATGAACTGGGTTAAAGGTCCACTGGCAGTCACCATTAGTTTCAACACCTACGATCATACAGTTAGACTTCTGCAGTCACTTCCATAGCCTTATCTCCTTCATACATTCTGTTTTCAATGTTATTGTTTTTGACATTTCAGAGGTTCAAATTCTGTTTTTAAAAACACACGATATGGTAGGGAAACAGAAAGTCACTGTGAGGCGGTGTGCTAGAGTTTGATTTTTCCTGGTAGTTTGGCAGTTGCTGATGACTGGATGTTCTTGACAGCTGACAGGGCCTTGTTTGGAGCGGAGGACACAGTACTCTGGCAGAGTGGGGGGAAGAGAGAAGGGAGTGCAAACCAGACCAACACACACAACTAGAAACATAATTATTACGAGGGAGTAGAGTTTGTTGGTTTTCATGTTCCTCCACGGAAAGTGTCCAACAGTTTGCGAGTGAAGTTCGTACCTTGATGGTGGAGACAGCGTTGGCCTCGCTCTTCTCCTGCTTAGTTTGAGAGTCAATGTGAGTGAGTATCTCTGACATGTTGGTCTCCAGGACCATGCCTCCTATACATATCTCCTGCAGTATGTTGTGGACCCTGTCCACATGGAATATGAGGTCCAGTTCACACACATTCTCAAAACACCTGTCCAGTGTCTCCACAAACACCTGTGGATTAGAGCAAGAGGGAAGCAGTAACACAGGCACTTTTTTGTGTTGTGATTCTCTCAATGTGTAAAGTTGTATGTTTAACTGGATTGTGTTAGAGCAACAGCTTTGTTCCATGAGATAGGCTACCTGTAACATACTGCAAGTAATGACAATGCCATCAACATTTTGTACGTTCCATTAGTACATACTGAGTGAAAGAGACTGACCTGTATGAGGTCTAGAATCCCCAGTTCACTCTCATTGGAATCCACACAGAAGACAAAGTAGAGAGTGGCATAGTGCCTGTAGATCAGCCGCCAGTCACCTCCCCCTAGTTTACTACACACAAGAAAAGTGTGGTACTGAAAAGATAATTTACGACTTCCAACCTCGAGCCCTCGAGGAAGTTGCAGCTGTTCTCGTCTCTCTTTGACACCATGTGGAACACCTCTTTTATCACCATCTGCTGCTCGCCTTCCTTCTACGAGGTGGGCGTTATTTAGAAGCATGCATCAAGGCGTCTGGCTTACGAAGTGAACGAAGAACTTCGTCAGCCGCGGCTTTCCCTGATTGTTGAAGACTAGAATGGCCTTGATCATCTCGCAACTCCGTCCCCGTGTGGAACTAGAACAAAGATCACAACGAGACGATAGTCGATCATATGACACTTATGACGTTTAATTACGCTTCACGCACGTGACAATTGTTTCCATAGAAACCGGTAAACTTTCCACGTGGTCTCGGCCTGAGTGTGATCGAGAACCGAAGATGAGTAAGAAAGGCAAGGGGAAGGCAGAGAAGACAGCTCCGGAGGGTGGAGGTACGTTAATGTATTGGAGAATTTGCCTGATGGTTTTTCGCAGACGGACTGACAGGAAGTTTCACGAACGATTTCCCCATCCACTGTCAGCAGCAGGGACTGCCGGCTGTACCAGTGAGAACCCTCACAAGGTCTGTCTCCCTCTCGCCCTCTCTTCTTTACATCTCCTCCCGTTCAGGCCTGGAGCCCCGCCCACTGGAGACACGCCCACCACACCCAGTGTTTTTTTGGAAGAGGGAGTTGGTCCAGGCTTTCTAAGAGCCATCCACCTCCGCAGTATGCCGTAATAGTAGTCACTGCTTGTCCTTAGAGACGGTACTTATGCATCAATTGCCAGTATAATTCAGCGTTGCACACACATATACATAGCTACCTACGAATGTGTCTGCATATAAGCTTAGGGTTAATCACTCCATGTGAGCTAAGGGTTAAAACTGGGGCAGTTCACCTGGCTCGTGTCCCTCTCCTCAGATTTTCTGCTAGAAGACAGACTGCTGAAAGCTCTGACCTCATCTCTGGAGGGAATCCAGTGTACTGCCATTCTGTCAGTAGTTGACACACACACGCACACACTGACGACACCTATAATCTTCTTCCCCTTCCCCACAGGCTGTGGAATGTTGGACTAAATGATGACACAACATCTAAACTCGTCCCTCTAGTAGCTAATTGTGCCGTCAGGTCAGCTGCCATCACTGCATACTACAACTTGTGTTTGTTACCCCATAATACGTGTTAGGTGGAAGCACTGGTGTTAGATTCGTGTTTCTTTTGCCTAGGAAACTTGCTCTAGATGGAAACAAGGTGTCACCCAATCACGTCCTGTCTCTACTCCAGACCAGGTATGGACTGTGGCCACTGGTTTAGAATGAAGACTGTTCCCTGCAGCATTGAGCATCTCTCGCTCAAGTGCTGTTCCCTAGGCGATGCATTTTGTGAGGTCATCGGTCCGGCTCTGAGTGCCAACACGTCTCTCTTGTCGCTGGATCTATCATCCAATCAGATCACAGACGAGGGCGTGTGTCACTTGGCGCGAGGGCTGAGGTTGAACAGAACTCTACTCTCTCTAGGTCTGGCAGGCAATAGGGTGGCTGATGAAGGCGTCGCTGCCCTCTGTAAGGTACATGGGAATGCCTAAAACTCGTGATTACAAAGTCAATATTTTGTGTAAAGACTGCTTTTAGCACAACGCTCACCCTGGGTGACTTTGGCAAAAAGCTATTCATGGGTCTATTAATTTATCTGAAGTGCATGCATACTGACTGCAGGTTCTGGTAAAGTTTCCACTGACTAGAGAAGAGGAGACCCAGCGCAGGACTCTGCTTGCAGCCAATACTCCAGTTAGTTGACTAATACCACGTTTCACTCTCTCTCCATTCCGTGTGCATGTATATAGGAAATACCAGTCAGCAGCTCAGGAAGAAGGTATGAATTGCTGTGATGTAATGACATCGTTGTAATAATGACATCATTTCGTATTCCACAGTTCCTCCGGAGCTAGTCTGGACAAGTCTGGACGAGGAGGGGGAAAGGGGAAGAAGAGAGAAGAGGGTGGAAAAGGTGTGCAATTTTCCCTCCTAACAGTCCTTGGAAGTGTTGTTGGCTAACGATGTAGTTCAACTCCACTCATCGGGTCAGAGGCGTGGCCCACAACAACAGGCCACATATATACCTTACTACGCTAACACTATCAGTGGGGGGCGAAGGAACCAGGTCTTCTGCGGCGTCGCGCCCGCCGGGTCACGTCATCAGCACCACTGCTCAGCACCAGCGCATGCGCAGCATGGCAACGGCTGGGATGGGCAGGCGCGCCACCCCTCTGCGCGGATTTCAGACGGCTCTGATCACATGACCCCTACGCTGCCTGAAGTGCGCTCTCCAGACTAGCTCGGTGCACCCGTCAACCGCCAATAGTCTTGTTTTGTGGGATGTAGCAATCAAGCGGGTCTGGAGTGCACCATCCCTCCCTAATCTCTCTACCTGCCTCTCAAAGGATGGAGACCCCCCTTTAGGGGGGTATTTTGGGCTGGGAGCTATTGGAGGTATCCGCCGTCCACACCATTTGCGTTTCTTTCAGATAATGGTTGCTAGTGCTGACGCAGCCCTATTGCACAATTCCTCGTCGCTTGAATTTCCCACTCGACGGTGCGGGCGCGCATCCTCCTTCCGTTCTACCCCTTTTCCTGCGCATGCGCCTCATGTGGCGCAGGCCTTCCTCGACAGTACGTTGCGGGCACGCATCCTCCTTCCGTTCTACCACTTTTCCCGTGCATACACCTAATGTAGCGCAAGCGTTCCTTGATAGTACGGTGCGGGCACGCATCTTCCTTCTGTTTTACCCCTTTTCCCTAGCATACACCTCATGTAGTGCTGGCCTTCCTCGGCAGTACTTTGCGGACACGCATCCTTCTTCTGTTCTACCCATTTTCCCGTGCATGCGCCTCATGTGGTGCGGGCCTTCCTCGACAGTACTTTGCAGGCACGCATCCTTCTTCTGTTCTACCCATTTTCCTGCGCATGCACCTCATGTGGCGCATGCGTTCCTTGATGGTACGGTGCGGGCATGCATCCTCCTTCTGTTCTACCCCTTTTGCCGTGAATGCACCTCATGTGGCGCAGGCGTTCCTTGATGGTACGGTGCGGGCACACCATCCTCCTTCTGTTCTACCCCATTTCCCGCGCATGCGCCTCATGTGGTGCGGGCCTTCCTCGACAGTACTTTGCGGGCATGCATCCTCCTACTGTTCTACCCATTTTCCCGCGCATGCGCCTAATGTGGTGCGGGCCTTCCTCGACAGTACTTTGCGGGCATGCATCTGTTCTACCCCTTTTCCCGCCATGCACCTATGTGGCGCAGGCGTTCTTGTTGGTACGGTGCGGGCACACCATCCTTCTCTGTCTCTACCCCTTTTCCCACGCATGCCGCCTACATTGTGGTGCGGGCCTTCCTCGACAGTACTTTGCGGGCACGCATCCTCCTTCTGTTCTACCCCTTTTCCCGTGCAATGCACCTCATGTTTGGTTGGGGCCTTCCCTCGACAGTTACTTGCAGGCGCCGCATCTCCTTCTGTCTACCCCTTTTCCCGTGCATGCCACCCATGTGGTCGTCGAAGTACTTTGCAGGCGCGCCATCCTCCTTCTGTTCTACCCCTTTTCCCGCGCATGCGCCTCATGTGGTGCGGGCCTTCCTCGACAGTACTTTGCGGGCATGCATCCTCCTACTGTTCTAACCTTTTCCTGTGCATGCACCTAATGTGGGCAGATTCCTCGATGTCTGTGCGGGCACGCATCTTCTTCTGTTCTACGCCCTTTCCCCGCATGCGCCTCATTGGTGCGGGCCCTTCCTCGACGGTAACTTTGCGGGCATGCAATCTGTTCTCCCTTTCCCGTGCATGCACCTCATGTGGCGCAGGCGTTCCTTGATGGTACGGTGCGGGCACAGCATCCTTCTTCTGTTCTACCCCTTTTCCCGCGCATGCGCCTCATGTGGTGCGGGCCTTCCTCGACAGTACTTTGCGGGCACGCATCCTCCTACTGTTCTACCCATTTTCCCGCGCATGCGCCTCATGTGGTGCGGGCCTTCCTCGACAGTACTTTGCGGGCATGCATCCTCCTTCTGTTCTACCCCTTTTCCCGTGCATGCACCTCATGTGGCGCAGGCGTTCCTTGATGGTACGGTGCGGGCATGCATCCTTCTTCTGTTCTTCCCATTTTCCCGCGCATGCGCCTCATGTGGTGCGGGCCTTCCTCGGCAGTACTGTGCGGGCATGCATCCTCCTTCTGTTCTACCCCTTTTCCTGCGCATGCGCCTCATGTGGCACGGGCCTTCCTCAACGGTACGGCACGTGCGCATGCACCTTCTGTTCTCCCCCTTTTCCCGCGCATACATCTCATGCGCCGCAGACTGCTGGTTTCTTCGATTAACTACGTTTAACTTTCTTAAACTGCTTTTCATTGTCTCTTTGTTCTCTGTGTGCTGTTTGTGCTGTGTGTGTATTGGCAGTATCAGCTGCTGGTAAGGCAGGAAAGGGCGTCAAGGGTGGAGGGAAGAAGGGAGTAAAAACGGAGGTGGGGGTAGAAGAACCGCCCACAGGGTCTCAGGTGGGCATGGCAGGTAGGAGTGACCAGCCACTGCTGGACCTGGTGACCGAAGGGGATGGGCAACTCTGGATGAGCGGCAACTCGTCCCTAGCACATCTCACTCTCTCCTGTAACACCTCCTCTTTCGCTGTTTCCGTGACTACAGCTTTGTTTCCCAGGCAACCGTGTGGGAGTGGAAGGTGTGGCTTCACTATTGGGTGTCCTCCGTGCTCTGCAAAATCCCACTATCCCCTCTTTGCCCTCTGACCTTTCAGCCAGGGAGAGGACAGGTGAACAGACCGGCACTGGTCTCCTGAGAGTGACACTAGAGGTATTTTGTATTTTATAGACTGACATTCAATTATCCACACATATAATTGCCTGCCTCCCTCGCCCCCTTAACTGATCTCCACCTGCAGCACAATTGTGTACCAGCTGACTGTGATGAAGTGAAAGAGATTACATTGCTGATTAAATCACGTGATCCACTGGCCACACCCACAACCCCACCTCACCAAACTGTAAACTAAACAATGTTAGTCAAAGCATGCATTGTACAGCGCAAAGTTACATAGTAAAGAGGACTGAGCTATATTATATACATAATGGTGCTCAAAACTAGTGTTCCATGTTGTGTATAGTGTTCATGATGGTCAGGCAGTACCCTCGTTAAAGAGCACGGTCCTCCCAAGATCTTCAGACAGCCTCGGGCCCTGTGGAGGGACCTCTCTCATCTCCCTTTCTCCACCTCCCTTCCCATCAGGCATGGACACTCCGTCTGTCAGCAGGCCTCTCTTGTTTCCTATCATGTTCTTCCTCTTCCTATGCCACTCCACACTGCAGTAGGGGAGAGATCACATGACCAAACAGGGAGATCACATGACTCACCAGAAGTAAAGACCAATGGCAACAGCGACAGACGAGACCACACCCACTACTGCAGCAGCAGCTGTTACCCCGGCAACCACAGCAACATTTAGATCAAACTCTCCCTCATCATCATCGTCCTGAGTGACAGGGGGTTCCCCGGTGACGGGCGGCGACGGATAGGCCAGTGTGAAACTGACACTTCCTTCACCATACTCATCTTCGAAATACTCAATGTTGTTCTGTAGGGGAAACAACACAGCATCTTAGTACATGCAGTTCAAGGGTAGGGTCCAGTGTTTTTGGGGAAAACAAACCACCCTCTGAGTAATTATGCTAACCTCCACACAAATTTTTCACCTGCTAAGTCTACACAAAACCTTGACAACACTAGTTATAATGGATAGCAGCTAGCGGTTTATGAGACCTGTATGGCTGCCAACGTGCTTTCTTCATCGAGTGCTCCACTCTCTCCGTCAATCTCCACGTCGACGTAGAAAGTGAGGACATTCTGAGTGGGGTCCTGGGACCTCGGGACTGGCTGGGCAATGTGCTTTGTTGGGTCAAAGACACTCACATGAGCATTTCTGCACAGCAAATAGAAATAATGGTCAGTGACATAGAAAAAGGGACAGCGAGATAAGGAATTGACTAAAGTGATTTGAAAAAGTCGGGACATGGTATGCAATACACACTCCGCTGGTTAACCATGATTCATGGTTATGAGTGGCAGCTGACACCCTAACCTCTTAGATATTGCAGAGTCATTCTCCTCAACTAGTCTCTCCACGGCACATGTCCTGGTGGTACAGTGGTCTACCACAGACACCTTCACCAGGTCCAGTACAGTGGCAACCCTTCCTTCTAGCTCCAACTGATGCAATGAGAAAGAGAGAGAGAGAGAGACAGAGCAAGTACATAGGTTCACAACATTGTTGGACAAAACTTTTGCATGTGCGTCACACAAGCAAGTATATAGAACCGTGGCAAGTGAGGATCGCCGGAGAATGGTAGCTTACCTGACCGACGGTATACTGTGAGAAGGTAATGTTTATACTTGTCCGCATGAACTCCTCCTTGTACACTCTACTAGCTGGGAGACCTATGGGGAGAAGGAAGGAGAGGGGGAGAGAGAGAGACGAAGGAAGCACTTGCAGGACTGAAAGAATGCTACTCACTGCCGCAGAATGAGGAATCGATGCTGTCATATATAAAAATGAGGCCAGGAGCACACACACAATCATAGGCCCCTTCAGTGTTGATGCAGGCTTCATTCACCAGACAGAGTCTCTCTCCATCCTCTCGGGCTCTCCTGCACTCGTCAACATCTGCAGAGAAACACAGCTCATAACTGCAGTATTATAGTTGCAGGTTATAATGCCTGACCTTCACAGGTAGCTAGATCAAGTCCTAGGACGTATCCTTCGCGACAGCTACAGGCATACGTCCCGGGGATGTTAGTGCAGAAATGGTGGCAAGGACCACCGACTCTGTCACATTCATCAATGTCTACAGAGAGAGGGGTGAGGTACTGATGAGGAGGAGGGAGAAACAGAACACCTACCAGCACAGTTAGCTCCACTGGTGTCCAGTTGGAAACCCTCGGAGCAGTAGCAGTAAGCATTGCTGCTGATGTTAGCACAGAACGCAGACCCACACTCATCATAGTCTGCATTGCACTGCCTTTCAGCTGTGGAGATAAAACATGTACTGCTTGATGTCACATAAGTGAGTTTTAGTACAACTTATAGTATTCTTTAAAAAAATGTTGGTACTCCAGGTAAATCAAAATTCTATATAGGTGTGAAATAATACTTATTTTCCAACCCCTGCCATTATCGAAAAAATTGCTCGGCAAAAAATTATGTGCCGCACAAACTGGTGGAAGAGGCAGTATAAGGCATAGGGTAAAAGGGAGCAGAAAAATGGAGATCACGGGCAGATGATGAAGTTGTTCTCACGAGAGCAGAAGGGGCCATCGCTACGGAAACCAGTCTGACAGCTGCAGGTAAAGGAGCCGTCTGTATTGGTACAGATTTGTTCACAGTGCTCCACTAGTGTTCTGCACTCATTGAAGTCTGAGAGTGAGAGAGAGAAACATGTTGAGAGGACGACTAGTTCGATAGCTACACACTTACCAACACATTCAGTGGGGTCTGAGTCACTCACCACATAACCACGGTTACAAGAACATTCGTAACTACCCTCTGTGTTGGTGCAGACTTGTGCACATGACGACTCACTTTCACATTCATTAATATCTGAAGCCAAGAACTGATGGTATGGGTCATGAATATCATTAGCACATACCTGCACACTTCTCTCCATCAGCGGTGTAACCGACAGGACAAGGTCCACACGTCGCGCCCTGGCCCGGCGCAGGGGCATCAAAACACTCAACTCCATCGATACAGGCATACTCCAGACAACCATCCACATCCTCTTCACAGTACGGACCTTCCCAGGCTGCAGGGGATCGTGTGAGAGTCACATGACCAGGGGGCTTTATTTGGGGATCATGCAACAGTCATACTATGACTAGTGGTCCAGACCATGCAATCTCAAATGGATCATGTGAGAGTCATATGACCACTCAAATGGATCATGTGACGAGTCACATTACCAATGGTCTTCATTATGTCACAAACCAGGAGAGCAGATGCAGTTGAGGATGACAAGGAGGTCACTTATGCTAGTGGCTCCTTGTGACGTGCAGGTCCCTCCGTTCTGACAGGCACAGATCTCCACGTGAGGAGAGAATACGTTTGCTGCTCCTTGGGAGTCCGTGGCAACTATCATCACATCTGACAGCTGGAGAAGTTAGTCATCAAGAGAGGCTTTGGCTGCCACAAGCGAGCTATCATACACTTTGCCAAAACTAGCCGACTTTCGTGGTATTGTGCTCCAAGGTTAACACACCTGGTCTTCTTGTGAACTGGTCAACTGCCAGTGGAATAGGAAGGAGCCTGGATCTGACGCAGACTGAGTGAGAGATGCCCCGGGCGGAGGAGAGACGAGGGAAACATTTAGATTAGTGTCGTCTTTGTCGTCCGTCACAGTGGTGGTAAAGGTCAGAGGTGAAATGTGGGAGAGTGTCAGGACACCCTGAACACTGCTGGTAATGACTGGAGGCATGTTAGCTACAGACAGAGGAGGGAGGGGTGAAGGGGGGAAGATGGGAGGTGAAAGGATCCACTAACTTGATTCCTCCATGGCGAGGTTGTTCTCGTTAAGAGTGTTGGTGGTTGCCATGCCAACACTGATGTTACCAGTTGCCACGGCATCAAACAAGCACTGCGTCACGGGTTGAGTGGCCCCTGCGGGTGTGCAGGCAGCTTTAGCCTCGTCACTGGCAGCTGCCTCAATGTCGGCAGTGAAGGTAGGAGCCCATTCTGAGTTCTGGTAGGTCATTGGTCCTTCGTCTTCAGCATATCTGAACAGACTCTCGGCGTGAGTGCTTATCAGCCCTGGGAGGAAAATATATCTGCTTTAAACAGAAGCAGAAAAATAAGAGTGTGTGTATGATTGATTATTAAGAGAGAAAAGTGAAAAGAAAAATCTCACAAACTCTCAAAATGAAAAGAAAAAGAGAAAAGTGTAAAGAAAAAATCTGGCCAACTAAAGAAAAAGAGTTTTTTTGAAAAGTGGAAGGCAATTGTTTGGTGAACTCACAGCTATTTCCAAACTCAAATATCTCCTGGTCACTAGCTGCTGTCAGGCTAAACGGATCCCCGTCGCTATGTACCAGTTCTCCAGCCTTGTTGCCTAGCAACCCCATCATGGTACCGCTGAGCCCGGGGTCAAGGTTCAGCTGAAAACTGGGGATACCGACACTCTGGTTATAAGTCACGGCCAGAGAAATTCCGTTAGCCAGTCCAACTGCCACCGTGGTAACAGTCTCCCTGACAACCTCAACTTTGCCGGAGTCAGAGAAGTAGGAGTCATTGACGGACGTGAGGTTGTCGGAGATGTCCATGTCATTCAGCCACGTCACACAGAACTCCTCAGAGGATCCACAATCAATCTGAGAGAAAAAAAACCTTCTTCAAGGAAGGGAACATTCACAACTTGGTGGCTAATCTTGCAAAACATTTAAGGTTGCCCATTTCACTGTACTATGGGCCCCCTTTTAATAAATCGCAGATAGTGAAAGTTTTGAGGTTGACTGTCTTACGGTCACTTTGTCACTGTCAATGTAGCCAAATGCAAAGGCTGAGAACTGGGTTGCATTAGTGTTGTATGTGGGTCTCATTCTGGCTTGGAAGTCCACCATGTTGTCATAGCGCAGCATCACAAACTCTCCATATCCATTGAACGTGTACTGGTCACCGCTGATTGTCATAATGTGAGGGTCTCCCCACGCCCAGGCTGCAGTAGAGAGAGAAAAGGGGTGGAGTTTCATTTCCACCATGATTAGTTGCCATGCTAACTCACTCCAGACGGGGGGCACGTATCCGATGCAGTCGTTCGGTGGTCGCCGCTGAAGGAAGAGGTCACAGAGTCCAGCCAGACCACAGCAGAACCTCCTCATCTCAACGTCTCTCTCTGAGATAGTTCTACGGCCAAACCTAGTGGTCACCATCTCTGTCATCCCACTGGCTCTATAGCCTGACTTTATCAGTGCACCCCAGGTCCCTCCCCTGCGGAGAAAAAGTGTGTGTGTGTGTGTGTGTGTTTGGGGAGAAAGGGAAGCATTAGTGCATGCTCGTTGTCAGCTCACCCTGACTTACTGGAAGTCGAAACTGTAGCAACAATACTGGTCATAGTCTCCAGTAGCTGTATTAGCAAATCGTCGGTAGTAACAGTAGAAGTTTTCAGAGTCCCAGCGATAGTTTCTGTCCCTCCAGGCTTGTCTGATCGTGCACGGGCAAGGGCTGAGCCGGCTCTTAAAGTTCTTGACACTTACACTTGTGAGCCTATTCCCATCCCCCTCAAGCAGTGCCAGGCACTGTCCACGCACACGCAGCTTCTCATCTTCACCTGAGCTGATCTTGTACACCAGGTTAAACCAGTCTGACGAGGGCCAGTTGCCACAGGCAACCCGAGTTGCTGCTTGAGACTCGCTGAACCTGTGATTCTCAAATTCAAATCCTCTGAGATTGTAGCCAATAACAGGTCCTCTGTAATAATAGGGACCAGGATTTGTCAGCAAATCACAGTTGTAGGTATAGATGGCATAGGTGTCAGCCCCACTGGAGACTATTGCTGCTTCAAATGTATTGAACTGTAGGGAGAGATCAGCCAGTGAGAATCAGATATATGGCGGGCAATGAGAAACGCTTACGTCATTGAGAATTCTCTCTGTATAGCTAGAAACGTAGTCACTCTGGAAGTAGTAGTGGTGAGGGTACACTGGCACCTTCACCCAGCTGGCCAGCAGAATCCACTCAGCCGTAAACGAAGAGTTTAGCTGAAAACTCTAGAAACAAAAGAGAGCTGTGAGTAAGAAAGGTTTTCCAAACGGATTCTCTCACAAGGAATTTGTCGATGACGCCGTAGAGAGAACGGTAGTCGTCTTTGCTAGGAGTGGTATAAATCACATCACCTCTGCTCCGTATGTCGGCATCGTGCCAGAATGGTGCAGCCACGTAGGTCTCTCGTATCCATGGATACGGTGTTGGGAAGTTCCGTGAATACCAGAAGTAGAAAGGTCGTCCAAAGGAGATGATACCATTAGTCCCAACCTGAGGATTCATATGTAATATATAGAGTATAATATAGAGAGAGTGTGTGTGTGTGTGTGCTGACATAGATATTGGTGTGGGAGGTAGTGCCCACTCCAATCCCATTGTGGGTGATGGGTGTTGAAGCTCCGTCCAAGTATGGTAGCAGAGACATGTACAGAAGATAGTTTTCAGTCCCATTGGTGGAGTTAGTTCCATTATGTCGAGGTAGCTCAAAACCACCATCCAAACCTAGCATAGTGCTCAGCAGAGGGAACTTTATGTAGTCACAACCTACGGAACATAGGAGAATATAAATCTTTCATCTAGTTTTAAGAAAATGTCAGCAAACCTTCCTCGAGGTGTCCCAACTGGCGAAACTGCTCAACTACAGTGGCAGTCAGAGCGTGCAAAAGAGAGAGAAAGAAGAAGACTAGTGACTGGTTACAAACAGACAGACTTACAGCCTTTGGTGAGGTTGCGGAAGTAAGAGGATACCTCATAAAAGTGGAAATCCAATGATTCAAAGTAGCCAAAGCACGCTACAAATTCACAGAGCAGAAGACGTTTAATGTCATTGTTGACACAGGTGTAGTTATCATGGGTGTCGCCAAGACGATGACCAGTTGACGTGTAGTTGCCGACAAAATCTTGGAAGAGGGAGGAGAAAAAAAACCGCTCGTCACACTCGTATAGAAATACGGAGTGGGTATCTTCTCCATCAGTGGCGAGTATCAACTGAAACTGCACCTAAAGGGATATGAAAGGGAAAGTAACAAAAACTCAGAGAAAATGCTGGTGTGATTTGTACCGGTGGTTGGTAATAGAAGTAGTACGTTCTGCAAAGAAGTGAGAGGTAGTCAGTGTCGTGTCCAGACCAACTGTTGTTAGCATAACACTCATCAATAGGACAACTGGTGTTGTCTTCATTGCCATAGCCAGAGTTGGTATCATCATAGTTTTCACGATAATCATACTCCTGGCAAAGACATTTGGAGTATTCCCTGCAGACTGTCTCATACACATCTCGCGGAGGAAAGAGGATGATGTTCCAGGTGACTGCCATGCTCCAGACTGGAGAAAACTCAGCATCTTCACCATACTCAAACAGAGAATAATCATCCACAGCCCTCCCAGCAAACTCCAGGATATCCGTATCATTAGCTCCCTCCTCCTGTATCTCCCAGGAGACAGTGATGTTCAGCAGCTCTTGGCTGATGTTGCGAAACCACAGTGGGGCCACCAGATACTCTGCATCAGTGTTGGAGAAGTTCTTGGTTGGTGTATTGAGGTCAGCCTGGAAACTGAGTGGTCCAAATGTCACAATCCCGTTTCTCCAGATCTGTGGAAGAGATAAGAATATTGAATCCAACCTCACACAGAGGAACTGTAACAGGAGAAGCTGCAGACAGAGACAGAGAGAGCTGATCTCGGTAGAACTATATAGGCCAAGTGGTTGAAACTAACAGACCAAAATAAGAAGCACATGGTAACCAGTGGGAGCTGTTGTCTGACAAACAACGACCACTGGGGTGCAGCTGTGTGAGCTGAAGAGAAGTTATAGTCTCTGTACTTTACTCCCTCTGACTGAAGCAGCCAGTGTCTTTGTCTAGTAGTACCCAGCAGACAAGGTCTTAAGTCCTGAGCAGGCTAATGTATAGCATTTAGCAAGACCTCTTAAATGCTTATGTTTGATAACCATGGTGATAAAGATAATCATAATGTGACGAAGCAACCAATGAATTGGCAACCTTAACACCTTAAACTATGCTGATATTGCACCACCACAGGTCAGGTCACAATATTCAAAGTTGATCACTGAATGAATACCTAGTCTTCACATCCGGCGCGCCACCCAAAGGTTCATGACATTTTACTTCCCGCGAAATGGCCAAAGAAATGAGAATATGGAGGCGTCATAAATGACCCGCACAATTGGTGTTGTTCATTTTAATGCCAAACTCAAAAACAGTTAATGGGACTTTGTATTAGCAGTTTTACACTAGCATTATTTTCTGATACTGATGCAAAAACACCTATATATTCATATAATGAATGCAGTATTGTGAAGTTAAGAGACACTGTAATGAAGACCAGCTCACATAGATATACTCCTGGCTGCCTTCCCCAATAGGAATGCCGCCTGGCACTCGAACCAACTCGTTTTGCTTGTTGGTTCCCAAGTACGTTGGGTTAGAGAAGTTGAAGATGCCTGAACCTGAACAGAGACATCATTCAGTAAGTCAAGCCTTATAGTGAATAATAATCTCTATATAGCAGCTTCATATTATTATGCTGAGGGTGAATAACATATTACTAAGGGAATTCTGCGCATAGGTGCGTAAGTATCGGCCCAGCCCCACCTCCTTTTGCAGAATTGCATTACGCTGACACGCTTGCGACACCATACGAACACCGTTTTCTTGCAGTTTCGCAAGATAATTGTGAGTAACTTACTTCTCTGCGCACTGCATGTCAGAATGTAGCAGGAGAGGACAACAAACACTGCAGCTTTGCCGGCCATCTCTTTCGCGTACTACTACTACGTCGACGCAGTCCGGCACTATTATATAATACGCGCGCATGACCAACAAAATTGATTACACGCATGCGCAACAAAGTTTATTATACGCATGCGCACACAGAGAACTTCACACATGCTATTTGGAGTACGGTTTAGCTTCTAGCAGGCGTTCCTGCTCCAATCTCCTCTCCATTTCTTTCTTCTTCTGTATTTCCCTCTGGATACGCAGCTCTTTCAGCCTGGCTGCACGTTGCTGGACAAGAGAGGGAACACCAACACTAAAACCTCTGAATAATGGCCACCTTAGGAACACATGAAATGTCTTTTATTCAGAGGTGTACCTTGTTCAATACACTGACTAATGTATTAGTATGGGGCAGAACCACGTGTCATCTGTTGTAAGGTGTCCTCTCACCATACCATTCTCCACTCACAAACCTGCAGTCTCTTTACCCTCTTGCTGAGAGTCTGCATCTGCTTTGCCAGGACCGATACATTCTGTCTGCACTGAGGTAGCCTCTGCAGCTGTATGTATGTACACACATACAGACACAAAGACCACATACCAGTCAGGATCTCCCCTGAGAAACTATGCAGACATGAATGGTGGGAGAGGTGACTGTGGTACAGGTCAACTGGACACTACATTCCACCAGCAGTACATATTATGACATCATCACGATGTAATGCATGTGCCAAAGCACAATAAGGAAGGAGAGGCATGCACAGTCATAAAGATGGAGCAAGTATATAAAAAGACAACCCTGAAATGAAGTTCTAATCATAGGTTCTTGCATGAGTTTAATCAACCTCCCTAATATAGCCCCTTTGATTCTGTCCAATTGGTGTCCGGATTAGAGAGGGGTTCCACTGTAGTATAGGACTCACTAGAGTTGTGATTTCAGTCATTTTGGTTGTGTCCTCAAACTGAAGGCGCTTGTCGCGTACTGAGGCCAACATTTCATCTTGGTTGACTCTGTGAGTGTGTGTGTGTTGTGTGTGGTGGTTGATTGAGCAACATGAAACTGGGGTGCTATACTCATCAGATATCATAGAGCTCTTAGACAGTGCGGTACCCACACAATTCAGTATGCCAGGCATCCACTGGGGGAAACACACACTCCCAACAGCCGATGCTCAGTCATTAAACATCATGTACTTAACTAGCCATGACATGGTGTGAGTATACACAGGGTGTGGCCCAGAATTCCTCCACACACTGCACGGTAACAAAATACACAAGCACGGACCTCCTACACGGCTGTAGTACAGTGCCTAATGGGCTAGGGAGAGGTAAGTTGTGACAGCCCGGGCTCTCCTACATTGCAAGGTAGCTGGCTACACCAGCATTCCCTTAGCTCCCACGGACTCCGGCATCCATCTGCCACACCCTTTAGAACACACACACTCTCCTCTCTCTCTCTCTCTCTCTCTCACTCTCTTCTTCTGCGAAAATGCGCTGTACATATCCAAACAGGACGTATTCTGTAGTGTGTATGAGACCTACACCAGCTCCTCCAGACTCCTGTGAACTCTCACTAACTCAGGCTCCAGAACAGCCAGAAATCCTCGAGCCAAGTTGGACACAGCCTCGCTGTCCGCCAAGTCCAGTGGCTTTATTCCTTCTTCTGGTTGCAGACGAGGCGTGGTAGTAGCCACTGATACCTCTTGTACTGTAATAACGTCTTCGCTGGCCATTTTTCAGAGGTTCCTAAAGCGCATGCGTAAAGTAAAGTATATACAGGGCGCGTGCGGAATTTCGCACGCGTCGGAGGATCGCGGGTCGCGTCGAGTAACGCATTTATAAACGCCGGACCGAGGACGTAACTCATCAGTTTGGGCGTCTCCACCGTCGCAGCCCTTTCTCGCAGTTTCTGTCCACCAGCAGTTCAACTGGCGCCGGAATTCGGAGGACCGCAGAAAGCGACTGCGCGTCGGACAGACGGCAACATCGCAATTCGCAGCTGCTGCGGCAAGTGCGGGCCGGCTATAATAAAACAACTCTGAAGGAAGGTCGAGTATGTGAGTATGTGTTTGTATTTACTACACCAGAGTTTTCTGCTTTACAGGTGCCGTCAGTACTGCGCAACAAACGGACCTGCGCGCGGCAGCCTGCGCCATTACAATTATTTTTGCAGACCACACTCCCGAAGAGAGAGCAAAAGTGCATCGAGGAACTTAGAAGAAGGTGAAAATCAGCCCCTTTTCTAGGGTATGCAGTTTAGGCGTGGCATTGCCAAGTCCCATGTATGGCGAATGCAGACTCTGAAGTGCAATAGAACCTGTACCATAAAAGGGTGTCTTATAAGTGGTATGTTGGTAATTACACGAGAAATGGAGGACAGAATTCTTGGCATAGCTCGGGCCAGGCTAACTGCAGGTGTGTGTGTAGTCTCAGTCTTACATGCACTGCTGGCTCCAAGCCACAACCAACTATAGTGTATCTCATTAGGTTGTGGTCATTCGACCATCATTAAATGCTCTATACTCATGTTTTCAGGAGGCCGCAGCTATAGACAAACCTAGAACACAGGTGTGTGCAGTGATGTGGTACGTTTTAATCCAAGAGCTACCCCACCACTGCCCAATAAGATATGCATGATCGGCAAGATGCTACACTAAAACGTTTTCTGGCCTTCCAGTCTACAATTTGTTGATACAAGTTTGTTTGGGTAGATTTACACCAAGAGTAAAAACTGGGTTGAAAAGTGTGTGTGTGTGTGTGTTGAGCAGTCAGCTGGAGAGATGGGGGCATGCGACAATAAGAAGCATTGGGTCAACTGATAATGCAGTATATATATACACATCATGTTGAAAGCTTTCCATAGAGTCTGTAGCAGAGCAGTCTATTGCCAGTGTCCATAGCCCCTGCTCCCAGTCCCCCCGCTAGCCACAATTAGTGGATAGTAAGTCATATTACCTCAAATGTGGCTACGGCGACCTGCGTGTGCCCAAATGAGGCGGTGATGGAATGCAGGATCAGCCAGCCATGCCAAGTCCCTTGCCAAAACAGCAGACCCAGCCAGACCTAACCTGCCTCCTCTTTGAACAGACCCACCAGAGCAAAGACTAAATCACTGACCACACAGACCTATTATCTCTGTTCTCTCGGGTTCCATCTCTCCCTCACTGTCTCTAGGTGCGAGGCCACTCCACTCGTCTGCTGAAACCACAACATTCCTCCACTTTCTCCCACACACAGACATTCCTATGGCAATCTGAAATTTGACCCCCACCAAACGCGGTTCCCTGGCCTCAGTACAACAGACAAACCCTCGGATCTGGCCCCCTGAGCTATGAGCACACAGGGTATGGGTGGTGAGCAAAGGCCTCAAGTCCAGGCCAGCACTACCTGTGCACCTGTGTGCCCACAGTATGGGGGCATGGCTGCATGGGAATCAAACTGGTGCACTGGTGATAAGAATAAACATGAGTGGATAACTCAGTGAACGCCCAACGGCTCATATGAAGCATAATAAAGCTTTACGCGTCGACACCTGCACCGTCCCCTCTGTGCAAACGGCAACGCCCACACTCAGCTCTAATTAAAGCCCCCTCCACAACGATGGCTGACGTGGTGGACTACCGCGGCTCGGGAAAGACACAGACGCCGTTAGAAGAGACTCCCCCTGCTGCCTGGTAACACTAGCCGTCCCCCAGAGAAGAAATACGGCTCTGCCGAGGAAGCTTTCGACGAGGCGTTGAGTCGCGTGCCGGTGGGAGCGTTTCACCTGGTGCTGATCGCCGTGTGCGGCTGGGCGATTGCCTCGGACTCCGTGGAGATCCAGTGTATTTCATTCGTCACGCCTCAACTGGATTCCAGCAACAGCAACAGCAACAAGGTATAGCAGCAAAGAGTGTCTCCAATATTCGGAGGTTTCACTACATATAGACTACAAGGATAAGGGAGCCGCATGTCTCTCCAGACTGGACGGTACGTGCTGAGGCTGGACAAGTCTGAGGAAGGAGTTCTGGATGCCATCATATTCCTGGGGATGATGGTGGGAGGGTACATATGGGGCAGTCTCTCTGATCTGATTGGTCGACGCTCCTGCCTCATTACCTCCCTCACCTTCAACGGAGTGTTTGGGCTGGCTTCGGCCTTCTCCCCTACCTATGGCGTCTTCCTTCTCTTCAGGTTCCTCAGTGGAGTCGGGTGGGTCTGCGAATTGTAGGAAGGAAGCATTTTCTGAGTTATTCTCTCCTTTTTTTAACACTTCACAATCAGTATAAAGCAGCAAAATTTTATATAGCTCCCTCGAAAATTTTTGTAGCGAAATCATTAATTTTCAAATTTACCCCTCAAGTTTGTCAGTAGTTTACATTTTTTTGTCACTTGTAAAAATCTGTTTCTGCACATCTCCCTCCTTCCCTCTGACAGGGTGGGTGGCTCGTTTCCCGTCGTGTTCTCGTATTACTCAGAGTTCTTCTCCAGAAAGTCTCGAGGACCATTTGTCATCATCCTTGCTGCCTTCTGGATTCTGGGCTCCCTCTTCGCTGCACTCATGGCCTGGATTGTGATTGGTCAGTTCCACGACTCAGCTCACGGCAGTGTGGGCGCCATGACGATGGAATCCTGGAGGATATACGTGATTATCTGCACGTTTCCTTGTCTCTCGTCGGCTCTCTCCCTCATCTTCTTCCCGGAAAGCCCCTCCTTCCTCTTTGCTGTGAGATATATACACCTGCGAATATGGGGCACTTGGGGACTTGTCAGAAGTATTAAACGATAGGTTTTCTTCATTCAGAGGGTCCTTCTTCTATAACTCTGCTACAGAAGTTACCCCAGTGATATTATCACTCTGCTGTAGAAGGGGGAGCTGCAGAGTACTGCGAAAGTCATGCACAGAATACAGCTGCTTCACTCCTACTGCGGGAGGGCAAAGGTCAAGCCACGCAGTCAGACTTGTTTGACGAGTTTTGTGATGATGTTGTGATGATGTAATCAGGAAGTGACAGGTCGAGAGGGGTGGAGTCAGTATCTGAGAGACCTGCAGAGTCAGTATGGAGGTCGGAAAGAGAGGAGGACAGGAAAGTGGGCGTGGCTGACTGAGGTGAGGCTCTAACACATACTGCTTTAGTGTTCTATGGACGCCTCTACACAAAATTTACTGCTACATAAGGTTAACATTGTGTTAGAGCATGCACCTCAGTGAGTGTTTGTGTGTCATGTTGGTGCCCTCTACAGCTGTTTCAGTCGACGATGGCAGTGTTCCACAGACAGCACCTCAGAGCCATGGTCGTCATGCTCATCGTCTGGTTCATGTTCTCCTTCGGGTAAACCCCTCCTCATTATCTCTCTAACGACACCCCTAAATTGAGGACACGTCTCTAATACAGACACCTTTTCTTCATGATGACACCATCTCTCTTGTTTTCCCTCTTCAGTTACTATGGTCTGTTGCTATGGTTCCCAGAGTATTTCAAATACATCAAAGACTGTAATTTTGAACGAAGTCACTATTGCAGCATTAACCCTTCCCATCCCCATCGCTCCTGTTCTGTCTCCATGGAAACCTGTAACATGACGCGGGGTGAAAGAGGGGATGATATATATCTGGACAGTCTGTACGTAGCGTTGGCAGCGATACCTGGCACGCTGATCAGCATCTTGACTGTCAATATTGTGGGAGCCAAAGCTATGCTTGGTATGTACGTGGATGGTTTGTATACCTGTAATCTGGACAAAAATAGGACAGAAAAAGTGTCCATTAGTGACACTTGCTTGTTTTATGGGTTGAACTGCTTACAAGAACTGTTCTTGGGGAAAGAAAAGGCGTCCTTAATAGAAAGGTGTCCTCGTTCAACGGAATGTCCTTAGAGAGGTGTCCTCGTTCAACGGAATGTCCTTAGAGAGGGGTTCCAACCAAGTATTATTTTCAGTGGCTCCATAAATGTATACCCTCCCCTGGCCCTGGCAGTGTTCTCTCTGGTGGTGTCTGGACTGAGTTCCCTGCTGATCTGGGTCATCCCTGACCAGGACAAGACAGAGGACGTGGTGGTCCTCCTCTCCTCCATCTTTGCAGGTGTCTCCATCATCGGCTGGAACTCCCTCGACGTCATCTCCACCAGCGAGCTGTTCCCAGTCCATCTCAGGTATGGAACCACACCCACACACACTCCTGGAACACTGCCACATGTGAATTCTCTGATTTTCATTTGCCATTCTTGCGTTTTATGGTTCGTTTGGGATTTTCATTCCCCACTCGTCACACACCTGGATACACCTTGTAAAATTGTTTTCAAGAATGCCAAGAGTTGCGACTGTAGTTTTTTAACTGCCATGACGACACTTGTTGTTTCAACATCAGGCTCCAGATAGGATCACATCATCTCATGAATTATTCATGAACCCGGTGGTGTGCACCATGTGGTTTGAACCACTAGTCACAGCAGACAGGCCACAATGTTAACACATAGATTGTTATGACAACTGGGCTAGCTCTATGTTAAATATTTGGCAAACGAAAGCAGTGCAAAATTTTTGTGGTTTAATTAATCCTATGACGATATGGACAGCACTGTAAAACATAAAATGGAGGATTTCAGATGACTAGATTGGCTAATTTCACTCATATAGACAACTTATAGGAAAACTTGGCAGTAAAACTTCTGTACAAATATCAGTGTATTATTTAGACAAGTTCATAGTATAAAATACTTGTATGAACCCCAGGTCCACAGCATTTGGGATACAGTCGGTTCTGGGCAGAATTGGAGCCATCACTGGAAACGTGACATTTGGGAGTCTCTTCTCAGCCGGAGCCTCTCCCTACCTGCCCATCCTGGTGGTGGCCAGCGCTCTCATCCTGGCCGGAGTGTCCGTCATTTTCCTGCCCTCGGCGAGAGGGGAGAGGAGTGGTCTAGTGCACAAGTTTCGCTGCCTCTGCTGTTTTCTCTGTCGTCGCTGCCTATCCAGATACAATAGAGGCATCAATTATAACTGAGTGTTTTGTTACTTTTACACTTTGTCTGTATGGCCCTAGTGCTACAGTGTTGCTATGTTTGTCCTGCTGACTGTATGGCCCTAGTGCTACAGTGTTGCTATGTTTGTCCTTCTGACTGTATGGCCCTAGTGCTACAGTGTTGCTATGTTTGTCCTTCTGACTGTACTAAAGAATTTGGCTTCAAAGTGTGTAAAAATGATTTGTGTGGTCCGCGGAATGTAATAATGAGTGTCAGTCGTAAGAAAGAGAGTATATACGGTATATACGGTTGACATGAGCAGGCCTTAGCCACGGAGGGTCGAAGGTCGAGGGAAGGAATTATAAGCGCGTTCTCCGCGAGCCACGCGAATATCGGATAAATCTCTGACGGACGGAGCGTTTGCACGCGATGGCGGAGGCAGACGACAGTGGAGTGCCGCTGAGTAGCGAGGCGCAGGACGCCAAGGAGGCGATGCAGCAGCAACTTGTGCGCAAGATGGCGCTCAAGATGCTGGCGGAGGCCGAGGAGAGGGAGCGAGAGAGAAGGATTCGTGAGGCAGGCGAGCCGGGTGCAGAGGCCGACACCGTCCGTCAGCGAGCGCTGGAGCAGATAGTCACTGTGCAGGAAGATCTCGTACGAGCTCTGAACCGCATGAAAGTGAGTTCTTCTAGCGAGTACGGCAGGGGTGCTTTAGACACAGTGTGTTTTTCATGTGTGGGCGTTGGATAGTATATACGGCGGTGATAAAAAATTATCGCCTGAGCAGCGACTAGCAGCTAGCGGCAGTGTATGAAAGTATAGCGACAAGAAAACTAGTTAACGACTGAATGTAAGGTGGTGTTGTATCTGTGTTAGAGAACATTGGTCTTTGTGTAGTCATGTTGTCCACAGAAATAACTCCCAGCCATTATCCACATATTCAAGGCTCCCAATAAACACATCTACTATTCGATACTACCATACCCCACCCTAGTATGTGTGTACAACACCCTATATCGCTGCCTAAGGCACTGCATACAATAGATTCCTAACCACTCCTCGAGAGTCTGCCCTAACATAGCCATTTGCACACACGGATTGACTGCAGTGCCAAGTTGTTCATCCCCTCTCTCCAGATTACCCAATATAGCCATCACAATTCCTGTTCAATAAACTTGATTATCCTGTTTTGCCTCACTGTATGGCCGCAAGCAAGCCAAACTCGCCAGTCTCAGGTCATATATAGCAATAATCAGCCTCTGGGGATGCAAAATTACTGCCCACCAAGCTGCAAGGACTTGTATGGTATTGCCTGTAGGAAACACGATATGGTATATACCTGGCTACTGCTGGAGCTTGAAAGTCTTATGACGATAATTGTTGTACGATCTTAAAATTCCCAATGCGTGTAGCTACATGTTTTCACAGTATGTATGTCTATCATAATTATGAGGTTCCAATGTATGTATGTTTGTAGGTAAAGGAGGCAGAGGAGGTGGAACAGGCACAGAGAGTGACTCAAGATAAGAAATATGCAGTTCACGATGAGCTCGTGCGCAAGGCAATAGCACAGGAGGTATTGGCTGCATCAACTAGTGTCAGAGTGTTTTGTGTTAGCCTGGTGTTAACTTGAATCAATGTGTGTTAGCCTGGTGTTAACTGGTGTCACTGTGTGTTAGGTGAAGCAGCAAGTTGAGGAGGAGAGAGAGAGACAGATCACTGAGAGCAACGACCCAACCTCTCCCCTGAACCAAGAGAGAAACAAGACTTATGATCGTCTGGTGTTGGTGCAGGAAGACTTGCTGCACCATGTCAGAGGAATGATGGTATGCCACACCAACCAGCTTCTTTTCCTGGCTTTTATAAAATACTCGAACTTTACTTATTTTGTCACAATATCTCGCTCCAACCTTTAATCTTTCCCCCTATCTTGCTCAAACGTTTCCCCCACTTGCTCTACTCTTTCATCTTTTCCCCAATCTCCCTTCTTCCAGGCAGATGCGGCCATGGAAGAGGAACAACAGCGGAGGATTGTAGAAGACAATAAACAGGTCGTCCATGAGCAGCTAGTACAGGCTGTAAGTCTCCCACCTGTAACACATGGTTTCTCTGTCTTTGACCAAACTCATGGAGTGTCACGCTAAATGCCGGGGGTGTAGTGTGTGTAGCAAGTCTCCATGTGTTGACTTGGTACCTGACTATTTGTGGAAATTGAAAATGAAGGTGTCTGTTATTCTGAGGTAGTATAATACACTAAAGCGAGGCAGAACCTGTCTTCCTACATTCGGAGGGTCCATTATCAGAGGTTCCACTCCCTGGCTCCAGGTTGGGAAGAAGCAGGCCCTGGCAGAGCAGGAGGTGGAGAGGAAGCGGAGGATCAGCGAGAGTATTTCAGAGGAGGACACCAAGAGGAGGATCGACATAGCTCTCAAGATGGTGGATGTTCAGAAGGAGCTGTTGGCTGCACATCCACCCATTAAAGTAAGTGAGGAGGGGGAGTTGTCAATGTTTGTATACACTCAAGACTGTTGGGCCCGTGCTAACAGCCTCATGTAACAAACCTGATGTAACTCTGCCAGCTATATTTATCATTTCCAAAGTTGGTCACAAACACACACCGGTGAACTTAACCCCTACCTCACTACAGACGGTTTCTTTCATTAGAGGAGAAAGCAGTAGCCTTGGAAATAACAATATTTTTTACCCCCTCCACAGGCAATCCATGGGACACTGTCGCAGCAGGTTCTGGAGGAGGCAAAGGCGGTGATGCAAGAACAGCTGCTTCGAAAAGCAGCTCAGAAAAAAGCTGATAAAATGGCAGATGCTGAGCAACAAAGGTACTGAATTTCGGGGCTCATATTGCAGAGAAGAGGAATTAATGACCCAATTATTAAAGATGGGAATTATCCAAGGAGATAATAACAAATATCTTGGTGGTTATGTTTTTAGGAGAATTTCAGAAGGAGAGGACAGCAAGAGCTCTGCCTTCTCCGAGGTGAAAGGAGACGTGTTGTCTGAGATATATCAGAAGGCGGCTATTCGAGAGGCAAAGCAGCTGGCAGACGCGACTCAGGCAGAGTACATCCAAGCAGAGCAGAAGACGAGGACTGGGGAAGAAGTGGTGAGGAAGATACACCAGAAAGAGGTCGATAAAGCCATGGATGTGAGTTATTGATTGAACTGCTATAGTCAAGGTATTCAGGATGGTTGGTTGGCCTGTCCTTCCCTCCACTTGCTTGCTAAAAGTACGAAGAATTTAGGCCACCCTATTCTTTCACTGCACTCTCCAGCTATAGTCAAGGTATTCAGGATGGTTGGTTGGCCTGTCCTTCCCTCCACTTGCTTGTTAAAAGTACGAAAAAATAAGCTACTTCTACTTCCCCAAACTCTCCCTAGTCACATTTGACACCTCCCAGCTACAAAGTGGTGTTTCTCACTGTTACAGAGAGAGAGGGAGGAGAGGGTGGAAGAGATGAAGACAAAACCTCCACATTTCGTCTCCAAGAGCCTCAAGAAGGAAATCACCCAGCACTGAGACTCTGCCCACTTCAGGGGTCTGGTTTAGACCAGCCTAAAACGGACAGTGTTAGCCATATGTCTATGTAGCCATAGATCATCGTTTTACGTAAGAGTGTAAACTGTAGAGATTATACAAGTAAATTCTTCACAGTAAGCAACATTTACTGCAAGATCTTATACTGTATACCCCTGTAATCTGCAAGGAAACTGTGTTTTGGGTTAAATAGAAATTGTGTTCTTGGGGAAAGAAAAGGTGTCCTTATTAGAGAGGTGTCCTCATTTCAGGGGTGTCCTTATTAGAGAGGGGTTCCACTCTATACCACCAAGTTATACCTGATACTGTGTCATGTTCTACAAATGCTCACAACTTGTTTTCCCTGGGAGTGTGGTTACTATGGCGATGTTTCTGGGGGAAACGAGGTCGTCAAACAGGGGCAGGAGGATGGGGGAGAGACCGTGTTCCCTGAGGAACGTTAGTCTGTCGGCTAGCAACAGGGTTTCCATGGCACCCTGCATACATACCTGTAGAGCCTGAGAGTGAGGCGAAAGAGAGTAGAGAAGGAAAAGTGGAACACAAAGGGAATAATAGTTCAATGGTTCAGCTGAGATTGCTGGCACTTCACTAGGCTTCACGCAAGTTTTGCTTATCGCTGATGATGTTAATGAAATTCGCAACTTTGTTAAAGGTTAATAATGAGTTGATACTAACAGTGAATGGCTCTGTGAGGCTGGCAAAGATATGGTGTCTGGAGTAATAGTCCATCAGGTCCCGTTCCAGTTCCACATCTGGACAATAATTGCAATGACATCATACACAATGACATCATCAGTGACGACACCAGGAACATACTGTTCAGCTGAGTAGCTGCATCTTTGACAAATTCCTGAAATGATGCTACGGACTTCTTGATCCGCAGCCTACCTACCAGCTCTGTAGGTTGAGGTTCAATAAAGAGAAAGAGGTTAAGGGAGACAAGACAAGACCTGGACAAACTGCCTGTAGAATGCCACGGTAAGACACGTTCCTCTGATGGTGGGTGTGGTCTTCAGCTGTCTGCCCTTTCCATCTGTCATCGTACAACACATGTTTGAATAGTGTAGCAAAACAGGGTCAAAGGTTCAAGTGAGATAGAGGGAAGTTTGGAGCGAGAGAGAAAGGAAGAAATACCTGGCCCTCGTCTCCTGACTGGCAAGCCGCAAACCAAACACACTCATCTTCTCACAGAGATCAGGGCAGCTGTCCCTCAGGTGGGCACTTATTGGAAAACAGTTGAACCCCACGCCACCATCTTCAAGTTCAGGCAACGGATAATGTGTATAAACCTTTAGCACCTTATAGCTTGCCTCTGGGGGACATTTTGTGGTAGCAACAGCTAACAACAACAGCGGCGCAGAGGTCAGGGTGCACCTGTCCCGATACCATTCTGAGGATGTTTGGAGTGAGGTCGCCACAACAGTGGAGTCCCACCAAACACACCCTCCCTCCTCCTTCCTCCCCTGTTGCCAGAGATCATAGAGAGAAAGTCACTGGACTTTCAAGGCATAAGCCCAAAAACCAAAAAATTTGCACTTTGATTTGCATAATACACACGTCAATGTATTAAAGAAACATTGATGACAAATAATTCAACGACAGGACCGTTTACACAGGTTTTGTGAACGGAAGGTACAGGTATAATGGTCACATACGTATGACGTCATCCAGAAGAGAGGACAATCGTGTCTGGCAGTGGTGGGAGTCGGAGATGTCGAGTTGGACAGTGGAGACGAGGGACGGAGCTCTCCGCCTGGCAGCTGCTACTCTCTCTCCCTCTCTCTCCACTCCCACCACTTTCAGTCCACACATCTCCCTCAACACTCCTCCCAAATATCCCTGACACAAAATGATTACCATTAGTGACAAAATCTCTGCATTGAAGGTGTGCAGAGGACAACAGACCAACCATCCCTAAAAGTAGCTAAAAAGTCACTGTATATGGTTGGTGATTTTTCGTATTTTTAGTAAGCAAGTGGGGAGAAGGACAGGCCAACAAACACTGCAGGTATAGATGTAGAGTGCAGTGGGATAAGTGAATGGGGAAAGAGGGCCCAAAATCTCGTCAACGTACCAGTCCAGAGCCAACGTCCAAAACAATGGAGCAGCCGGTGCTCCTGCAGACTTCAGCAACCACACCTGCCATTCTACTCACCTGTAGTCAGTCAATAGAGGACATTATAATTGGAAAAGTAGGTTTCCTTTATTATAAGTGTTTAGTAGGATACCAACTACTGAGACACAAGTTTTTAGCAGGTCTCAAAACGTAGCTCTTGCATCTAGGAACATGTAATTGTTTCAAGGAACTTGTAATACATTTTCCACTATATACCTCTCACCTCTCTCTCTCCCTCATTAAAGCATCGTTATTATTCACCTCATGTGTCTTCTTTGGAGTCATATTCCTGGCACAGACTCCGCCCACTGGAACCGCCATGGCCGACACCCAATCCGGCACTGATCTTTCGAGACACACCCTCTGACTACCAGCGACGAAGGTCCGGAGAGACTGAGGCCAGTTCGGCTTGAGATGATGACATCGTTGGTATTAATTATGACATAATGGGGTTTGTATGTTACCTCGGTGAACCCAAATGGCAGTTGGTTGAGTTGTTCTGTGTTCAGTTGGAGTAGTGGACCCCACCACTGCCAGGTCACGTGATATCACGTGATACAATAGGCATAAAGTTTAGTATACCTCTGAAGGAATCCTGTTCCAGTGCTTCATTTGAAATAATCTCGTCATCTGTACGTCCCACACCCACTGGTACCGACTAATGAATTCTGCAGTATCACACATGGTGTCTGCCAGCTCTGGAGAAGGAGCATCTGAATCACTAGCTCCCTGCATCAGTGTTTGCGCGCGCGCAGGCACGAAAATGATCCGCGCATGCGCAGTATGGGTGTATACAATAATTTGTGACGTAACGCGACCGTATCATATCAATTGCCTTCTCTCTCTCTCGCTGAGTAGCGACTTTCGTCCCCTTTTTATCGGGTCGTGTCGCGGGGATCAAGGAAGAAAGGAAAAGATTCCAAGAAAAAGGAGATAGCTACAGTCATTGGTAAGACCTCCGCAGCCCCCGCAGTGACGCGTGCGAGCCGCTGCCTTTCCATAAATGGCATTAGTCCGTGTTGCCCCATCGCTCATGTTGGGTTGGGCGGGTTTTGTTATTTCCTGCGAGATCCAACGCCCATCTTTGCCGTGCGTTTACCCTGGTTCTGTGCATCCGAACGAGGGATAGGGAGTTATTCATTTGTACTAGTGACCGCGACTTGTGTCCGTGTGAGCCTCGCTGCATAGTGTAGTAGGCGGAGGAACTGAGGATAGTGTGCATGGTGGTGTGTACACGCAGGGAGGAGGTGTGTGAGTGGAGAAGATGGCGTCCACAGTGTCCATCAAGATCCACATTGTTCGCAGCAACAACATCAAGACTATGCAGGTAGCTATATACATGATATGCAGAACATTAGCCCTATTCTTAGCCTGTCAATGAGCCTGTCCTATGAGAGTCGCATGCAGGGACTGGTGTCCATTACTTTTTTCTCTTTCACCCTTCTCCTAGTGACTTATCCCCTCTCTATCCTAGTTTGATGAGTCGATGATTGTCTATGATGCCTGCAAACTCATCAGAGAAAGAGTGCCGGACGCAGCTCAAGGACAGCGTAAGTACCACCACGTCACCATTACCAGAATCTCTCTGACCCTCATACCACATGTGGTCGTGTTTCTGCCAGGGACATGTGGTATCTGTACAACATGTACTGAAATACAAGTCCCCTAAACTGCTGATAAGCCTCCCGGCTACCTTTTACTTGCAGGACTCCATTTTAGATGCAGCCCAACCAACCGTTCCCAACATGTAGCTCTTGACTTGTGCCAATGTGTGTCCTCCGTGATGTGGCCTAGTAAGGCTCTGGCTGTTAGCGTGTGTTGGCGTGGCAGCGTAATTAGGACCTCGCACTGCATTAGTCAGTAACATGGCCCTTTCTAGAGCTAATCCAACCTAAGTAGTAGAGATTTGTGATTGGCTTGCTCCTGCCAGCGTGTGAGGGTCATTGTGGATACCAGAGGACAATAGATAGAGCTGTGCCAGCAATCGTTACTATGGGGCAAACTGCAATGTGTAACTGCCACATGAGCGTATGAGCAAATCCTTACAACATGACTTTTATACCACTTTGAGATTTTAAAAATACATCTGCACTGGTGAAAGATTGTGCAATTTGGTAATGTTGCTCTGCACAAGAATTGGTGTAGGAACTTGAGCTTCCATAAAAAATTAAAAAAATGCCACCTTTCTTAGAACAGTGTTTATGATGCGTTAGATATCCCTGAAACCATGAGTCTAGCTGTGCCCCCATACGCCACACACAGTGAGCTGGCTTTGTACCATGTTCATCTCATTTGGCTGGCCTCTTCCTTCCATGATTGACTGGAAGGCTGTTCCCCTCGAGTGTACAGTTGTACATATTTGTGTTCATGCACCGACCTTTGTGTTGGTTTTGTTGGGAAAGCCTTTTGCCAATCTTTTCCTGCCCCCAAAACACCATTTTCCATCCGCACAAACCAACACCAAACAAACTTCCTCTTGACAGTACTCACACAACCTCCTCCTGAAGAGTTTGAACAATAGGAAAGAGTTGAAGTGGATTCTGAATGTTTGAGGCGAGAGTGAAGCATGTTGGAAGTCTGTAACTGGGTGTGGCTACCTACTCAGTGTCTGTCATGGGTGGGCGGTGTCAATGTCTGAAATTCATGGACTTGACTGCAGCAGTAGATAATTCATGGGTTCCTCTCTTCTTCCTCCGTCGCCAGTGGGCTGGAAATTTGGCAGTATTTGTGACACATTCTTGTGTTGTGTGTAATGTGAGCTTCTGTTTATAATCATTCTCTCTCACCCCCCCTCTCCCTTCTCCCCCAAAGCCCAAGAGTATGGTCTCTTCAAACCAGATGAAGACCCAACTAAGGGACGATGGCTCGAGGCAGGTAGAACTTTGGAGTACTACCACCTCAAATCTGGGGTAAGACGGAGTAATGGGGGTGATGGCGGGGTCTAATTATCAAACCACGCCCACTCAGATATCCTGGAGTACAGGAAGAAGCAGCGTCCGCTGAGAGTGAGATTTCTGGACGGAGCAGTGAAGACTATTCTGGTCGATGACAGTCAGAATGTGGTCGACCTAACCAAGGCCATCTGTGCCAGGATTGGTGAGCCACTCTCTCTCTCTCATCTTCATCCTTTCAATGTGCAACATGACAAATTAGCAAACAATGTGGGTTGACCGTGACACGTGAGCTGCAAAACCAAGGCTCCCATTTCTCCTCTCTTTCTCTTGACTTATAGTTTTTCATTCTTTCTCCTTGAATGTGTCAAATTTAAATGATTGTCGTTATTTCGTACAGGGCTGACCAACCCGGAGGAGTTCTCGTTCACGACTGAGGAAGAGACGAGTGACCAGACAGTGAGGAGACACCAGCAGTATGTGAGAGACCAGAAGAAACTAGAGACCCTCAAGAAGAAACTGCACACTGATGATGAGTGTGAGTCACCTGGGGAAGAGAGTCTCATTTCTGTTGTGGGCGAGTATTTGTACATTCCATACATTCCTGTGGGTCATGCACTAGCTGGCTGGCTGCCCTGTCCTTATATGGAATGAGCCCACAACACAAACAGTGTCTCTCTCTCCCACAGACAACAATGATTGTAGGCTCTCCCCCCTTACCTTTGTCCTAATAAGATATAAGATTATGAGTTTGATTTTTTGTAGGAAACTTTTTACATGTATATACAATTTAGTGTTGGCAGTGGCACTTACACAGTTCAAGGATTGGCCCCCTTTTCCTATCTTCAAAACCCCCTCTCCTCCCCTCCTCCCCTCCTCTCCCAGTGAACTGCTGAATCCGGACAGAGTCTGAGAGAGCAGGGCATCACGGAGACTGCCATCCTCACTCTGAGGAAGAAGTTCTTCTTCTCCGACCAGAATGTCGATAGAAACGATCCAATCCAACTGAACCTTCTCTACGTCCAGGTACGGCAGGGTCTGTAGCCTTGTTTTTACTGACAAGTTGAACCGTGGCAACATGTATGTGCAGTGAGGGTTACAGCACTCGGTTTCTGAGTGTTTCTTTCTGTCTGTTACCAAGGTCTCCACTATTGCTAAGCTCTCTCCCTCCCCCTCTAGTCCCGCGATGCCATTGTGGAGGGAGCTCATCCCTGCACCGAGAAGAAGCTCTCCAGTTTGCCGCCCTCCAATGTCAGGTTGCCTATGGCAACCACAGCGAGGCCAAACACAAGCAGGGTTTCCTGAACCTGACAGAGTTCCTGCCGCGGGAGTACGTCAAGGTCAAGGGCATCGAGAAATTCATCTACGGGGAACACCGCAAACTGCACAACATGAGCGAGTTGAACGCAAAATTCCGCTACATTCAACTGTGCCGCTCTCTGAGGACCTACGGAGTTACCTTCTTCCTTGTTAAGGTGGGTGGAGCATGTGGTTTCCACGGTGATGTTTACTCGTTCCCATGGAAATGCAGGAGAAGATGAGGGGGAGGAACAAGCTGGGTACCTCGTCTGCTGGGGATACGAGGGGAGAGTATAATGAGAGTTGACGAGAATACGAAGGAGGTGCTGAAGACGTGGCCGCTGACTACCGTTCGCCGCTGGGCCGCTTCTCCAAACTCTTTCACTCTGGTTAGCACTTATTACCTGGTTTATATCAAGTGGTGTCAGATTGCATCAAGTGGTGTCAGATTGCATCAGATCCCCAAATTTGGTTTAGATACTCATTAATGCTTAGCATCAGTGATATCAAGTGGTGTCAGATTGCATCAAGTGGTCATGGTGTCAGATTGCTCAAGTGTGTCACTCTCGCAGGATTTCGGGGACTACTCGGAGTCGTTCTACTCAGTCCAGACCACTGAGGGGGGACCATCTCCCACTGATCGCTGGCTACATCGACATCATCATGCAGAAGAAGAGAAGCCACTTCACAAGGAGATAGAGGACGAGGCGAGGAGCTGTCATCGTAGACTCGAGTCGACCCTAAGAAGTGAGGGATTAGGGATAGCGAGCGAATAAGGAAGAGAGGTTTGGATTAGGGAGAGAGAGAACTAAGGAAGAGAGGTTTGGATAGTAGGGAGAGAGATGAGAACTAAGGAAGAGAGGTTTGGATTAGAGGAGGGAGAGAGAACTAAGGAAGAGAGGTTTTCTGGAGAGACATTCCCTCTAGAGGGAATGTGGACATGACATGATTCAGTCCCCACCCCCCAAATAAGGTTGAATTTTCGATTGAATTTTCGATAAAATGTTTCAAAATTAATGTACGCCTACTCAATTAATATAAATTGCTGTTCAGTTTACATTTAATTGTCCTAGAAAACTCCCTGATTTTCATGCATGTCAATTAGTGTCTGGATTATAATGGAAATCCATCATGTAATCGATGCTAATGTTGTGATGTGTGTATTGTGCAGAGCGTCAGTGACGACGTTCACTCGTGGAGGTCACGGGTACGCGGAGGAGGAGGGGCTGTCGTCCATGGCGTCCCCCCACCACGCTGGCTATGACGACGGAGCACAGCTTCACCACATGGACTCCGCCCAGCAACCAGACATGTCTGGAGCTCCTGGTACGTCACACTAGGACGAAACCTCTGAATAAGAGGCAACTTGGGGATGTTGAACATGCACTTTAGTGTTTGGTAACATTATAATGTGATACTGTGCCTTCAACTATGATGTCATGGTGTTTATGGATGATGTCATTGTGGCTGTGTTTGTGTAGGGATAAGGCACCAGGCACCGTCGGAGGCGATGAATCCCCAGCTGTTGATGGCACAGTCCGCTCTCCGTGGCAACATCGAGGAGGGTATGGCCGTTGCCAAGGAGACGGAGGACAATCTCTACAGTGCGGCTTCCCTGCCTCCTCTCGGCAGTGACAGTGTAAGCCACACACATAAACATGAGATTCTTAAACCATCCATCTGTTTATTTACGAACCCTTTTTGTACACCATTCTCAGTGGTTTAAAGACTCTTACAACCCATTAGTATCTGCCCTACTTTGTCGAGTGTAGTTTTAGCTAATTCAGTTTGCAAACAGACTTTGCAGCAGTTTACACAAACACTCTAACAGACCAGGTTCACAGCCTTACCCCATCATGCTCTATACGTGTTTTCATAGCAGTATCGGGGAGGACAATGCATATTGTGAACCTAGCTAAGGAGGTGTGTGTGTGTGTTACAAAATGCCCCCCTCCCTCCCTCCCTCCTCCAGGCCTCAGTCAAGTGGAAGCAGACAACACTGGATGTCTCCAAGCAGAACGTTTCCTCGGCGCTGGCGGCCATGTTGGCTGCCACGGCTCAGATCATTACTCTGACTGGAGGAGAACCCACAGATACCAACTACACCGCACTCGGTTCAGCCATCACCACCATGTGAGCTCCTCCCTCTCTCTCTCTCTTCCCTGTCTCTCCTCGGTTTCTCTGTTATCGTCACCAACTTTCCCTGATTGAAAATTAGCGCCCAAGATTTGTGACTTTTGTGTTTAGTAAACTAGGAAGAAGAACCAAATTTTTTGTTGGTAAAGATCGGCGGCGGTATTACGCAGTTTGAAAATTATTACTAAATGTGTATGTATGGTTTCTCTGTGGTACTGTATATATTACTTCTGTCTTGAATGCAATTTTTCTCCATCCTCCATCCTCCTCTCTCTCTCTCTCTCACAGATCCACCAACCTGAACGAGCTGGCCAAGGCCGTGAGGTTGTTGGCGGCTCTCGACGTGGAGGGAATGACACCAGACGACCTCCTGCGAGCTGCTCGAGCCCTAGCCAATGCCACTGCCGGTCTCCTCAACGCCTCAAGTCCTGAACACCTTGAGGTGAGAGAACACTACTCAATCACGTGTTCAACCATACTAGTGTAGCAACTTGAACCAAGATTACTAAGTGACTGTGTGATGCAGCTTCCCAACGCAACCCAATCTCACAAAACAACGTCTATTTAAATTTTATATAAAAGTATTCGCACACTCGTTGTCTAAATTTGAGAATTAGGAAGTTCTGTGTGAATGAACTGTTAGTCTGTCATCCCTACTCTAAACCTTGTTTAGAAATATCTCGTCTAATCTCATATCTCTCTCTCTCTCTCTCTCTCTCTCTCTCCCTCAGAACCGGACCCAGCTCCTGGCTGCAGCAGGCGAGATGGGAGCTCACGGAGGTTACCTCCTCTCTCTGGCCGGAGACTCCGAGGTCGACCCCAAGATACAGGAGGCCCTCGTTGCCATGGCGAAGGGTGTCGCCAGCGCAACCGCTGCCCTGGTTACCAACGCCAGGTAAGTAAACCTCCTCCATTGTCTTGGTAATCGAAATGTATTTTCTGAGCATGGACACGACACATTGCAGCAATAGCTCTATAGGGAGTAATATGTAGACCACTCACCTAGAGTACTAAGATAAGGAAGTGTTAATCTCTGTGCAGCATAAAGATTACAAGTCCTATACTGTACTTATGTCCTCCCCTCCCCCAGGAACGTGGCGGCTCACTGCGAGGACCAGGGCCTCCAGAACCAGGTGATAATGGCAGCGAAGCAGACAGCACTGGCCACCCAGGCTCTCATTGCCTGCACCAAGGTCCTGGCTCCCTGCATCGACTCCCCGCTCTGTCAGGAGCAGCTCATCGACGCCTGTAAACTCGTCGCAGCCGCCGTGGAGAAGATTGTCATTGCAGCTCAGGTCAGCTTGGGGACTAGCTCATTTAGCAATAGATGACTTGAAATGTAAATTTGCAAGATACGCTTTTCCACTATTGCGTCATGTCAAGCAAAAAAAGTGCCTGGCACCCACTTTCCACTTTTTTGCGCACAAGAAGTAAAAAAGACTGCTCACTTTTGACTGGCCATTATGTGTGGTGTTCTATTTGATGCCCACTTTGCCAGTCAGCCGTCATTATTATGATGATGTAGTAATGGAAAAGTGTCTATTACTCTATTTGTGTTGGACCTGGGATTTAACCCTCTCTCCCCTCATCTGCCAGGCTGCATGTGGGGATGACGACGCCCTGCGTGACCTCGGAGCCGCGGCGACTGCCGTGACGGAGGCCCTCAACAATCTCATCCACGGAATCAAGGAAGACATAAGGAATGCCGAGGGTGATAAGTACGACGACGCAGTAGAGGCCATCTTGGCCGCCACTGAAAGGCTCTTCAGGTACAGTGCTGTAGTATTGTACCGCCTTTTCCTCTGTAGGTAAATAATGGGTGAGTAAGGAAATCTTTATCGGTAGAAAATTAACCACGTCTTTTGCATCCCTTGTAAACCTTGCGACATCCGTGCTTTTTGTACCAGTTTTAGACACATCAGTCATTCTATGATATAATTTACACCATTCCATAATTATGTTTTTCCCTCTCCTCCCTCTCCTTTCCTCCAGTTCAATGGGAAATGCCCAGGAGATGGTGCGACAGGCAAAGCTACTAGCTGAAGCCACGGCATCTCTAATTAATGCCATCAAGAGAGAGGCTGAGGCTGAGACAGACCCTGACGCCAGGAAGAAGCTGCTCGACGCTGCCAGGGCCCTCGCTGACGCCACGGCGTTCATGGTGGAGGCAGCAAAAGTTGCCGCTCGCAACCCACACGACGAACAGGCCCAGGAGAACTTGCGGAGGGCCGCTGAGCAGCTCAGAGCCGTCACTAACGCAGCTGCCTCAAACGCTATCAAGAAAAAGGCTATCAAGAAGCTCGAGGTTGCAGCGAAGCAGGCAGCTGCAGTGTCGACGCAGTGTATCGCCGCGGCGCAGGGAGCAGCTGCCTCAAACAGAAACGAGGCCTCTCAAGCACAGCTCATCAACCACTGCAAGGCCGTGGCGGAACAGATATCGTCCCTGGTGCAGAGGGTGCGGACCAGCATGAGCAACCCTGACTCACCCAGTGCTCAGCTTGGCCTGATCAACTCCTCCCAGGCCATGATACCTGTGAGTGTCCGCAACAGTTGTGGTTTAATTTCTCATGAATATCATTATTGCCATTACCACTGCAGAAATTTTTGCAGACTTACATCTTACACAAAAACTGTGTGTTAGGTTGGGCTTGCGCTCCACTTCCATTATTTCTCTATCTTACTGTCCACTGAACTCTGTTTTAACCCCTTCCTTCCAACCTGTCTGTTACTACGTATAGCCTGCAGGGAAGATGGTTGCCGCGGCAAAGGCTGCCGTCCCGACAGTAGGAGACCAGGCAGCTGCTCTCCAGCTGGGTAACTTTGCGAAGGCCACAGCCAGTGCTCTGGCTGAGCTCAGAGCTGCCTCTACCAAGGTCGGCTCTTGTTTCTCACCATGTACAGTAGAAATCAAAAAAACGTTTCCAAAATCGTTCACCGTTCACCGTTCATCCGTTTCCGATGGAACGGCGTTTCTCCGTTTCCGTTTTCCATTTCTCCGTTCGAACGCCGTTCAACGGTTGAACGGTGAACGATTTTGGAAACGTTTTTTTGACTTATACTGTATCTTTACTAGTTCCCTTAGGCCTATGTATTTACAATGTGATACGTTGATACTACCTACAATACATGTGGCTACATCAGACACTGCCACAATACCAGTTTCTCAGGTCTCACCAATCACTACCCTCCCTCCCCCCGCAGGCGGCTGATGTGTGTGGCAGTCTCGAGATCGACAGTGCCATCGACACAGTGAAGGGACTGTCGATGGAGCTGGCCGAGGCCAAGAGAGAAGCCCATCAGGGGAAGCTGGTCCCTCTTCCCGGAGAGAGCGTAGAGAGCTGTGCCCTGGAGCTCGGGGCCACCTCCAAGACTGTCGGCTCCTCCATGGCTCAGCTGCTCACCGCTGCCAATCAGGGTGGGTGGGGCCTCGTTGTGGGTGGGGCAATCATGGTGTCCGGATTAGAGTTCAACTAGATGTTGTCATGATTGTTTGTACACTGTCGTTGCCCAGGTAATGACAACTACACAGGAATAGCGGCGCGGGACACGGCGAATGCCCTGAGGGTGCTGGCAGGAGCAGTGAGGGGCGTGGCAGCTGGCACCAAGAACCCTCGGACCCAGGAATATATCCTGACCACCGCCCAAACTGTTAGCTTACACACAGACACACACTGTCTTTCTCTCTGCATCCCGCCTTGTACCAATACATTATTGGGTCATAAACCAGACAATACATAATACATTGCATAATGTGGCATCTTGTTCAAAATTCTCCCTATCTTCCCCAAAATTCTCCCTATCTTCCCCTGCCACTGTCATCAGGTGATGGACCAGAGTGTGGCGCTGATCCAAGAAGCCAAGATGGCCGTCGAAGACCCAACAGCTCCCAATAAACAGATGAGACTGGCACAGGCCGCCAAGGCAGTCTCCCAGGCCCTCAACCAGGTATGTATACTGTCGCTATTTCCAGCGATGTCGTGATGACGTCATTGTATTTCTCTAGGTGGTGAACTGTTTGCCAGGACAGATAGAGTTTGACCAGGCAATCAAGGCCATTGCTCAAGCCAGCCTTGCTCTACAGAGGCAACAGGTATACAATTATACATGAATACATCACAGTCAATATTTTTTAACCCTCGTCATCAAGGTGCACATGTACACTGTGAATGTTACAGTGTGTAAGTGTGTGGTATTCCCAGCTTTGCTAAATTGTTGCCTGCTATTTGTCTCCGTTTTCTTCAGCTTTTACCGTTCTATTCTCCACTACTGTGTGTTTTTCATTCATTCCCCTCCAGTTCCCGAGTGCTGGAGAAGCCAGCTACCAGACCCTCCAGAGCAATCTCAGTTCATGTGCAGCTGCCCTCAACGTGGCAGGTAGTGAGGTGATGACAGCTGCCAAGAGCACCCCTGAGCACCAGGCTGAGGCCTCGTCCAAGTTCTCAAAGACGTTCAGTGAGATGCTGACTGCCGGTCTCACCCTCGCTGGAGCCTCAAAGGTTGGCGTCCTACACTTTCCCCATCTCGCCTTATCTCAATGTCTTTTTTCCTTCTCCGTGATCATTAGGTGATCATTAATGCTGTCAGTAACTCATTCTGTTCCTCCATCATTCCCAGGACCCGGAGAGCAGGAACGCGATGCTGGGGTACCTGCGGACCATCTCTGTCTCCTCCACCAAGCTTCTCCTGGCAGCCAAGGCCCTCTCCGCCGACCCTAATGCCCCCAACGTCATGAACCAGCTTGCAGCTGCCTGCCGTGCCGTCACTGACGCCATCAACAGTCTCTTGGACCTGTGCTCCACCTCAGGACCAGGACAGAAGGAGTGTGACAATGCTCTCAGGAATATCGAGGTACAGACTGTTGGGAACCCAGGGAACTGCGTTTTTAGTGGGCAAGTGTGGGGAAGGACACACCAACCAATACATGCACTATGTATGTAGCAGTGCAAGAAGAACTGTTTGTACGCATCAAATGAAGCCACTGTTCTGAAATTAACAAACTACAGGCAACGTTTTAATACACATGTGTAATATGAAATGGTGAGATCCAATGATAGTGTATGCATGCTGCTGGCCACTTGCCAGCTTCATTAATCACTCCCTCAGTTGAGGTAATGTAGTGGTAACACTGACATTACTCCTCCCTCCCTCCCCCCCTCTCTCCCCACCCTCTTCCCAGGCTGTGGCCCCTGTACTTGCCAACCCTAACGAACCTGTCAGCGATCTCTCCTATTTTGACTGTCTCGACGTTGTCATGGAGAAATCACGAACTCTCGGACAAGACGCGGCAACCATCACAACCTCTGCTAAGAACTCGTCGTACGATGAATTCAGTCGCTCGGTGGAGAGCGCGTCACAGGCAGTCTGTCAGCTAACAGAGGCTGCGGCCCAAGCAGCATACCTGGTTGGTATTGCAGACCCAAGCAGCACCGCGGCGACGCCGGGACTCGTTGACCAGGCCCAGTTTGCGAGGGCCAACCAAGCCGTCTCCACTGCCTGCCAAAACCTCCTCAACCCTGCCTCCAATCAGCAACAGGTGACGGTGGGCTCTATTTAGAACTCTTTGCAGTACAGTTACACCATAATGCATTTTCCTCTGGCAATGTGTGATGGTGGGCTCTATTTGGACCTTCTTGTACTGCAGTTTCGTTTCAAAAAGTTACACCGTAATAGAACTGCATGCATTGTCTTTCCCATAAGTTTGGCTTCTTGTCCGCTGAAATTTACAACATTTTCTTGATTCCGTTCCTCAAAATGAGGTATTTCGACTTCACTGCCTATTCTTCCCTCCCCAGGTGTTGGCAGCGGCAACGGTGATTGCGAAACACACCAGTGTTCTATGCAATGCCTGCAAGGTGGCGTCGTCCAAGACCAGCAACCCTGTTGCCAAGAGACACTTTGTGCAGGCCGCCAAGGAGGTTGCCAATAGCACCGCCAACCTCGTTAAGAACATCAAGGTATTGTAACCCCTTGACCCCCACATATAATTCAATTACCCCACTTAACCCTTTTTCCTCCGCAGGCTCTGGCAGGGGATCTGTCTGACAGGAACCGAGAGGCGTGCGCGGAGACGACGAAACCTCTCCAGGAGGCCGTGGAGGCCCTGACGACGTTTGCCTCCTCCCCCCAGTTTGCCTCCACTCCCGCCAAGATCAGCGCACAGGCCAGGACTGCCCAACAACCAATCCTTGAGGTCGGCTCCCATACTACTGTACAGTCGAACCTCCGAATAATGGGAGTAAAGTGTTTCCCAGAGTTACGCTTTTCCTAAAATATTTTCATGTACACACACTTTCCCCCTCTCCTCCCTCTCCTCCCTCTTCTCCTCCCTCTCCTCCCTCTCCTCCCTCCCTCCCTCTCAGGCTGGAAACAACGTCATCAAGTCCTCCAGCAGTCTGCTGACATCGGCCAAGAACCTGGCGATGAACCCCCGTGACCCCCCGACCTGGCAGCTGCTCACCTCTCACTCCAAGGCCCTCGCCGATGCCATGAAGAACCTCCTCATGGCTATCAGGTTCAGAACCTGTTTCCAGAACCAGTCAATCCGGTTCAGGACACACAAATTGTGCCTGAACATATTGGAAATTTTGTGGACGGGAAGAGAAATTTGTATTCCACAAAACAAAAATTGTTGTTTTCAACTATAATTTTCTTCGTTTAAAGTGTCCAGTGTATGGTTTCAGTAATCTAAAGGACCTTGTTTAACCCCCCAGGGAGGGTTGTCCTGGTCAGAAGGAGTGCGATCAGGCATTGACAAACTGAACACCACCATGACCCAGCTGAACCAGGCCGTCCTGGCCGCCATGTCACAGCAGCTGCAGCCTTCTGCTGCCTCCACTCTCCAGGGATTCCAGGTACACGTCGCTACCTACCTACGGGGAGACAGACCTGATTGAGGGGCACCTTAGGGGATTGGGGAGTGTTCTTTATTCTGAGGTCTCCCTTTATTCAGTAGTGTCCTTTATTCTGAGGTCTCTCTTTATTCGGTAGTGATTATGTTACTCTGTTTGCCTCAATTTGTCAGGAGCAAATGTTGCAGACGGTGGCAGACATTGGAGACAGTGTGAAGCCTCTCAGTAATGCAGCTCAGGGGGAGGCCGAGAAGCTAGGACACGAGGTAAAGTTTGTACTCCTCGGTGTAATCAGCATCGCATGGGAAGTCAGTCGTTTGAAACAACCAAGACTTGTTTCGATTTTTGAAAACCAAATTAAGCCTCTCGTTGATTTTCTAACTCCATGTCGTCTCTGTCCACTGCAGGTAACTCTGATGTCAAATCTCTTCCCAGCTTTGGCAGGAGCCGCCATTGGCGCGGCCTCCAAGACCAACAGCTCACAGATGCAGACCCGCCTTCTTGAGCAGAGCAAGACGCTCACCGAGTCCGCCCTCCAGGTCAGAGGTCAACTACTGGGGGCATGGCCTGCCTTAATTACTGGGTGTGGTTGTAGATGAGATTTAGGTGTGGCTCGAAACGATCACTATAAGGTTACAGTTATGTCAAGTGGGGGGAAGGACAGGTCAACCAACCATCC